TAATTTCTTAATATATCTAGAAGAAACCACATTTCTTGACTGGCAATCTCTTTTATTTCATAGATCTTTGTCCTGTCTCAGGCACTGTAGCTAAACTGCTCGCTTGGGTAGGGGAGGGGGGGTGCAATTTGCAACCCTCACCACTAGATATCACTATTGGGTTGTGTTCAGTCATTAGGTTATTGTGCAAGAAAAATGCTCTACATGGTGGTCAGTCTCCGATTTGTTTATGTAATGTACTAATTGTCAATAATAAAAACCGTGCATACAGAACAACAAGTTAAACATTTCTAAAGTTTGATGTAGTGCATCAGCCTTTTTTAATGTCTCGCCTACTCCAGGCTGTGATTGGTCGGTTCACGAAAAGTGACTTTGACGAGCAATTGGCGCACACGGCTGCATGAAAGGCTCCCGATCTCCCTGCGGAGATCCTGATATGGCAAGGGCAGAGAAGAGGACCGGGGCCTGAAGATGTCGCATTTAAGTTTATGTTCTGCTTGCTCAAAAGCTGTTTGATTTATGGCTATTAAAACACATTAGGATAATATTTGAAACGCTTCTTCAATTCTGATCATTTTGGCGCTGGTGATTTTCCTTTGGCACTCACTAAAACCTCTTTGGGGGGGGGCGACAAAATTTTGCGATGCAGGAAAAGCCCTGGTTTGGAAAAACAATTGTAGAAATATAGCCTAGACTAAACTATGAATCGATAAATCAAAAACAAAAGTCAGTAGATTAAATGATAATAAAAAACATTTAATTTGCAGCTCCAAGAAGTACTAACATGCAAACATCCTATTTGGCATGCACCCTTTTTTAAAATTATTTTATGAAATTCATGTGGAAATGCGTTTATATTGTGGACATTGTTTTGTTTTTTTTACCCTTACTCAATAATTCATATCAAAATCCCCCAAAATATTGTTAGTGAGAACCACTAACCCTACCAAAGAAGAAGGAAGCAAACAACGTTAAAATTTGAACATCACCCAAAGAGACTCTACTTCAGTTCAGCTTTGAGTTATGACTGAACTCTCCCCACATATTCTGTTTTTCTGGCTTTTGAAGAGAGTCGACTCCTTCTCTGAATAAGTTGTTTTGTAAGTCACGTCCTGCGAGGATGACCCAGTATTTCAACCTCCCTCCTCATTAGTGGAAATGTGTTTGTGTTTTGTTATGTAATGGCCAACACTCAGGAGGCTAGGACTTATCCAGCAGGCCTGCCTGCGAGCAGCCATCATAATCATATCACATGGCACAAGAAGACGGTCTGATTTAAAAACTGGTTTGGCCTTGCCCGAAGCGCCTGCTTCTAAGTCATTTATCTGACTTTCATGAGTTGATATGTTTCCTCTGTCCTCACATAGTGGAATTCTCTTCTGCTGTTGTGGGGGGGTTTTTGGGGGGGGTGAATGGACCCAAAGAGGCAGTACTTCTTCATGAGTATTGTCTTTATTGATATGACACATTTTTCACTTAGGGTGAGCACAAAAACGAAATACTCTACCTCAGTCCTCGCATACAGCCCACACAGTTACAGGGTATTGGTTTGAAAGATGGGATGGTTTTCTGTTGTTTTAGCTCCAGTTTGTTATTTAGCTGTAAAGGACAAGTGTATTTGGATAGCACTAAAACATTGTTTGGGAATATGTACTGCGCAATATTAATCATTTGATCCAGTTTAAGATGAAATTCCAGATGGACATTTCCAAGGGCAGTGCCAAAACAAAGATCCTCTCTGCTTTCTCTGTAGTGTATAGGTATTCACGGTCATATTGGATCTCTGTAGTCTCCTCGCTGCTGCTGCTGCTGCTGCTGGTCCTCTGGTTTCCCCATTCTAGGCCAGAAGATCAAAAAGGCGGGTTAGGATGGGTGAGCTGCCAGCTTGAGTCGTGCCCCCATTTCTCTAAGCCTGGGCCTGAGATGTCAGCACCACACAGATTTCACTTTCCACTGTAGTACCCCCTGGAAACCCCCCACCAACAAATTAGCACTCTGCAGACGTTTAGTTTTAGTTTGTCTTTGCTGGTGTGAGAATCATCTCTAAAACTTTACATAGCGTCTGACATATCTTGGGGTCTGGGGAGACATCGAACTCAAAATTTGTGGTGTGATTTATTGTTGTTTGTGGATGAACACTCTGGTGTTTAATCACCGCGTGCCTGTGCAGAAGTTGGTGTGTCTCTGTTTACACTGTCTGCAGACGGTGGGATTTGTGCTGAATGTAGGCCAGCAGAATCCCTCTTACGTCAAAGGCAGGCAGGCGGGCAGATGCAGGAGGAGAGCTGCTGGTGGTTGTGCAGCTGTGACCATGGAGGAGGCTGCGCCGCACATCAGTCTGCCAGAGCACCGCTGGCGGTGAACAGGGAGAGACACAGATAAGAGACGGAGAGCGCCAACGATGAAGACCGTCCTCAGCCTGCACAGGAAATGGGCCCACGCGGTCAAGACCATACGTATCCTTCAGGGGCTCGTGAGTGAGATTCTGCTACCATGGCTCAGATTTGATCAGATCTGGGCAAGTGGCTCGGCCATGCAGCTGGACCGAACTGGTTCCGAGTGTTTGTTTGTTTTTGTTTTTTTATTTCCTTCCCTCTTTTTGGAAATGGGTTGAGTCGAGTCTTGGGCTGAAATGAGTGATCCACATTTGCAGAAAAGTGCCATCGACTGTTATAAAATTATCATTTGGGATCGAAATTAATTGTGTTTCAAAGAGTAATGGCTGATGTAAGCAGTCAAAATCAGAAGTGGCTCAGTGGTTCATTTTTGTAGAGAAATTGAAGAATGGTCTGTTTTTGGATGTTGGAAATCAACTTTCAGTGATGTTAAGTGATGGAATATTTTTGACAAAAGTTAGTACTTCATTAGGACTGGTGGATGGACTGACTGGATTATTGATCAGTCAATTAAAAGTAAACTAATAATAATCAAGGAATTATGTAAAGGGCTCTTTTTCTTCTTGAAAATGAATCCAAAAAAGAATGTTATAGTAATTGATAATGACCGTAAGTGTCGTTTGCAGCCCTAGACTTTGCTGAGTTGTCAGGTTTTATGACTTGAAGTTTAGCCGGTGTGTATCTTACGGTTGATCTGTGTAACCTGCTGGTGTTTTAATGGAACAGTCTGTCAGAAAAGGCGCTTTCATCCTGAATTGTTTTCAAGAGCTTGTTAAAGAAAGCTAACTGATGTTCAGGGGTTCTCATCAATATTTAATCAACCTGAGAGAGAGAAGTTTCTTAGACAAACTTGTAGTAGCTTGTACCCATCAACGGCCTGCCATTGTTCTACTTGGAGCTCCTGGTTGTGTAACGACAGCACGGGCTAATGAACTGGCTTTGTCGTTACATCACGTAATGCATTATTAATCTGCTCAGTGAAATGAAACTACCCATGGTAATCTTTCCTTTCTGTCCACAGAACCCGGTCATGGAGGAGACCGTGTGGGAGCAGTACACCGTGACCCTGCAGAGGGTGAGTCCCATCTGCACCAAAGCATACCAGACCTTATCTCAGTATTTACATTTTAGCCATGAACGTGCAGGCTGTTACACCCAGTCCTTCACAGGGAATGCATTTAAATTATTAGTTTGACACGTTGCAGTCAGCAGTCATCAACGGTTAAGAGAGCAAAGCGCACTCAGACTACACATGTAACAGACATTTCCCCTGTCCTCTGAATGAGAGCTGGAGTAAATGTATGCAATCATTTATTCATTAGTTTAATCCTCAGAATTATGATTAATTAGCAGATGTCAGATGAAAGCTGGAGCTCCCTGTATGGTGGTGTGGAAAACCAACATGGCAAGATCAACTATATCATAGGGCTGGGCAATAAAACAATAATGCTAATTATTGCAATATAATTTTCCTCAATAACGTATAACAAATGTTTGATTTAATTCATTTGAATCACGAACGAATTAGCACTTCGTTTTTCCATTATATTTTGCTGAGGAACAGGGACTGAGAAATCTTTCACATATTTTACTCATGCATATTTGGTGAGAAAAGATTTTATCATAATTGTTTTGAATGTTCTACCTCTAATTTTTAAAGTGATTCACTGTTTGGCAAATGTTTGTCATGTTGTGACCATGAAGAATAGTTTAAAACCACAATAACCTTCACTCAGGAGCAAAAATCATCCATTAAACTTGAAAGAAATAATGATTTGACATTTATCGTGATAATTATTGATATTAAATATTTTATCGTGATTAAGTTTTTGGCTAGATCACCTTTTTTATATATATCTATATACAACTATGGTAAACATAGTGGGGCAATTAGCCGCTAAACAGCCACATATTTCCATCAAGAGTTGGTGGAGACCAAATCTGAGCTGTAAGAATGACCATTGATTGGACTTGGGTTCTGCAGGGGGAATTTTGACTCATTACCACAGCATTTCTAAAATGCAGCCTATAGGCCTGAATTTAACAAAGTTGAGATGGCTCTAAAACTGGTAATCAGTTTGTCAATTGACAGAAGCTCTAACAGTAACACTGATGGTTTACTTTAGTTAATTATCAAGTAAAATAACCATTTCTTGGCATGTTACAGCTTTCAAAATATTTTTATTGTTGGTACACTAAACACAAAACACTGAGTACATCAGAGTTGAGAAATTATAGTTTAGAGTTTTGAATCTGGTAACGTGTGGTAACACTGTATCACAATAACCAAAGCAGCGCTTTTTTATACATGTAGGGCCAGATTTACTAGGTTTGCGTGAGTAGACACCAGCAAATTAAAATTGTAAGCTGATCTGAACGGTGTGCACGCAGAATGACATCTTTGTCCAAGATAACACTTGTTGTTCATTTACTACTTTTGCCTTAACGAATATACAATTGGGGGCGTTTCAGTTTTATTGTGCAAAGTAATGGGAGGGTAACATGCAAATAGGTTTATTTATTACAGCAATGTGATCTAACAAGGCTACAAGCAATTTCATGTGAGTGCAACAGCATCTGTATTTAATACGTTTGAAAGGAAGGTGCAAACTGCCAAGTGTTGCGCAGAGATGGCTGCTGTTGTTGTTGTGAAAAGGCGACCCAGCCGTAATAAATGAACACGTAGAGAAATTAACAATATTAGATGATATTATTCTCTATCCAATGTATAGAAATACAATTGTATTTTATTTATGCGATGAACTATATGAATTGAATTGGGTTGTTTTGTATTTTCCTTGAAGCTTTGGCAGTACTGTTGTATTAACATTCATGCCAATACAGCAAATTTCATTTCGACCTAACTTCTCTTCTCCGGGAGATGGAAGAATTTAGACAGTTGCATGGCACTGCGGAGAACCCCCTGCTGCAGTAGTGCATGGATCACGTATAAAATTCATCCAGCCAAAGGGAACGATCACCAACTGTTCACAGTGCGCCGGTCGTAAAGCGACACAACCCATTGTAGGTATCGGAGAGGGAATGGGGTGTTGGGGTGTACAGGGACTGGAGATCGCTGAGCGACCGGGCACGGTGCGGACGGTCTGTGATTGTTCCCTCTGGATGGATGAAGCACGATCTGCTGGCATTTCCTCACGTCTGGGTCCTTCCAGCATACTGTAGCTGTTTCTGCTGGGATTTCCAAAGCAGTGTTTCAGGTGTGCTGTCCCAAGTACTTAGTGTAATCTCAGGCAGGATGGGCAGGTACATATGATTACCACATACTCGGGATGCACTGAATGAAACAAACAAACATTTTTATGCGGTGGCTGCTTTCTTTCCCGACTCTCCATGGGGTAAACCATTAAAAAACCCTAAATACTGCCACCTCAAGTGTGTTTGCTCCTGTTGTCATCTACGCAGTACTTCTAAGTTGATCACCCATAACAGTTACTACAATTGCACGTGCAATATTTTAGAATGCACACTCAATTTAGTACTTTCTGAGATGTTAATAAATAAATCCGGCCCATATATAGTAATTTGAGAAATATAAAACCCTAGTTTTATTTAACAGAAGCCACGGGTCTCAAGTGTTTAATGTCATTTGAACGTAAGCAACTATAAAAGACCTTTGTCCAAAAAAAATGCAGTCTAAATTAAATCATGAACTATGAGATACTGACACATTCTCGTTGATAGTAGTAATAATCGCTATTTACAGGCGTGTTACATCTTTGTGCCACATCTCGCCACCAGCCAAGTGGACCAAGTTCTACACTGCTGTTAATGTGAAACACGTGTACGGCTATGTGAGCAGAGCAAACCAGTTGAGCTTAGGTAATCATGCTGATGAGCTCATTGTCTCGTGCTGCGGTTCACTGAAGCCAGAAAAGCAGATTTAGTGCAAAAAGGTCCTCTGCCGCAGGCGTGTGACCCCCGACTCTCAGCCCCGCCACAGCCAGCTGTCACATTCTGCTTTGTGCATGTACTTTTTGGTCTCTTCTACCATTTGTTAGCGGAGTAGCATTTTTCACATCTCTTGCCTTTTTTAAAATTTTTTAAGAAAAAGTAAAGGTGCACATGGTAATCATAACTTTACCACACAGAACTGACTAGGATTAACATTAACAAGTACAGCAAAATATAGTTATAACTTATTTTAGTAATTACAACATACACAAAACATGTAAAGCACACAAAGCTAATAAATATCTCTGGTAGCAGACATTGCAAACAGATGTTAATGGACAGAAGATGAACTGGAGCTTTATGTAAATAATGAATAATGTTTTCTGTTTGAATATAAATAAATTTTAACTATGTTCAAATAGCCAATACTCGAATAAACAGGTGAACTTATTTTGTTAATGTGTGTACTGTACGGTCAGATTACCAGATGCAAAGTAAAAACAAACATGGAGGAAATGAACACAGAGGCTGAGATTTTAGAGGCACTGTTTGAATCCTGGCACTGTTTTGGATTTTACTTTTTAAATGTCAAAGCAAGGGTTGATGTGATAAACGATGTTTGTTAACTCAAGTGTGGACACATCTGGAAGAAGAAATTAGGCTATCTGTTGCTTTAACTTTCAACCGACTGGAAACAATCTGACCGATCAGAGAACCCAGCTATCATCCAACTTCAGAGACACACTTTTTAAACAACGTCCTTCTGAATAACTGAGAGTTACATTTACCAGCAATGGAAAAAATAACCAGAAATCATCAAATACCTGTCATACTTGAATAGGAATTAGATATCCCAGTACACACACACGTACACACACGTACACACACACACACACACACACACACACACACTTCCAACTTGTTTCACATCATTAAATCCCATCATCCCTCTCCTCAACCGCTGGTGTAAATAACATAACAGTGACAGGCTTCCTCGGCTTCACTGTCTGCTGTCATTTTTAAAAACCTTTCATACCAGTGTGGTTTCACATTGGTTGGAAAAACTACAAACCATCTTTCTGTGTGGAAGAGAATACTGGCCGGCTTCTCTGGCTCATAAAACCTTTTGTTTTCAAGGTAAAAACAAGGGTCAGATCATGAAAAGCTGACATTTTATTTTCCAGTTTAAAAACAAAACGATTTGATTCTTAACTTAATATTTTATTAACAGCAAATAAATATTTAAGATTTTTCTAGCAGAGTGACTGTCTCAGCTACTTTTTTGCCTGTTTGTTTCTCTGCTTGCACTTTCTCCCTCCCTCTGCCTCCACGGCCATCTGCTATAGACAGGGGGAAGTGGTGAATTGTGTGGTGGTGTGTGTGTGTGTGTGTGTGTGTGTGTGTGTGTGGTTTTTTTTTTTTTTTTTTTTAAGTACAGATGGAAGAGGATAAAGAGACACGGTTATCAAATCTCTGACCTAATCTCATCTGGGCAAACTGGAGCAGTGGCAGGTAGAATCATTCAACGCCGTAACACGTTTCCAAAGAAGCAAGGAGCCTTTAAAAACAGTTGTTTGAAAGTGAAAAACACCCCTTGCTGATGTACACATGTGACGCATCAGAACATTTTGAAGCTGAGCATTAGTGTAGCTGTTTATGCCATAGGACACGCAAAGCCATAGAAAATTGCAGGCACTGAACTGCTGTACAGTCATACATGACTCCATTATGCACAACTGTAATCACAATCAGTCAAAATCCCTTTAATCGCCATGCACAATAAACATGCAGCTATGATAATGCTGTGTGAGCTGACACACCGCACAGGGATTACAGGATCGCTCACACACACACATTTAGACACAGAATAGATGGAGACTACACATGATTTAATTTTTTCCTCTCAGGATCCGAAGATGGGCTTTGGCATCGCAGTGTCAGGTGGTCGGGATAACCCCAACGAGGAGAGTGGCGAGGTGTCCATTGTGGTGTCGGACGTCCTGCAGGGAGGACCGGCTGATGGCTTGTTGTTGTGCGTACTTTTATTGGTCATCCTTCAGTATAAATCCCAGAACTCTGAAACTCAAAACATTTGCAGACTGTGAAACTGTTTGTCATTAGTGAAATGCTACTGGAGTGACAAATGTAACGGCTCTATTTCAAGTCATTTCATTCAGTTAGGACAGATTATTATTATTATTATTATTGTCTAATCTAAACTTAGTTAAAGATACTTTAACGACTATACCAATCTTTTTTGAATTTTTGACATTACATATGGTTTTGAAATTATGCATTTTAGAACACTTATAATATTTATAATTAATTCAGAAGGGTGTCACTCTATATTATTCAAAATATGTTAAATCAGTTAACATCTATATCTCTACAAGTCTTCGTTCAAATGTGGCCAAAATCGAAACATTCTGTAGATGGCAGATATATCAAGTCACCTTCTCTGGAGATACAAATGTCCAGGGTTCCAAACCCCAGGTGGGCGAGTCCTACTTGCCAACAATGTCGCAAATCATGCATGTGGTGTGGTTTCAAGTGGTCACTGAGGTCATATTAAGTTGAAGGTTGCCTAATGTGACCCACTGTCAAAATTTTAAATTTTCTCTGCTAAAAAGTGTTTGTGCAGCAAAAACCAAACATTCACATTTATTGAGAATACCTAAAATAACAAACTGTTTCAGTTAAGTTTAGTATGTTTGGCTCATATCAACCTGTTTGTGTTTAGTGAGAGTGATCGAGTGGTGCAGGTGAACGCAATCCCCATGGAGGGGGCCACCCACTCCTTTGCTGTCCAGACCCTCAGGAAGTGTGGCAAAGTAGCAAAAATTGTAAGTGAAGCTTTTGATTTGTTGTTTGAACCAAATTTTTGTTTTATTACTTAATAAATGAAGTGTTAATTGAAGTCGCTTACAATGTGAGTAAGATGATGTGTGTTTGAAACTTGTCTGGAAAATGTAATCACTTATATTGATTCCCCTCTCTCTCCTAATGTTTGTATGAGCTTGATGTTTTTATTGATTAAATCTTTGTCTCTGTTAATCAACAGACAGTTAAGAGGCCCAGAAAGGTTCCAGTCAATCTGATGAATCGTCCCCCGTCACCTGATGACAGAGTCTTCAACAACGACTACAATGATGATTACAACTACGAGCCGGAACGCCGCAGTGTGTACAGCGTGCCAGACCACAGCCCAGAGAGGGAACGAGGGAGGGGAGGCTACATGGATTCCGGCTACCAAACACGTGAGCGGGAATATGACCGCCGGGAACGCGGCAGGAGCACGGAGAGGGACCTGAGCCCGGACCGGCCGTACAGGAGAGACGGCAGCAGAGGTCGCACTTTGGACAGAGAACGCAGCCCGGATCGGCCCCCAATGCTCGGACGCGACTACAGCCCAGACAGAAGGTACCGCAGCGAGCGCACGTTAGACCGAGACTACAGTCCAGATCTGCGGTACCGCAGCGAGCGAGCCCTTGACCGGGAGCACAGCCCAGACAGACGCTACCGCAGTGAGAGAACACTGGACCGCACCAACAGCCCAGACCTGCGGCGCAGACGTGACAGCCACAGCCCGCCTCGAGGCCAACACTCCTTCGAACGAGGACGTGAATACATCCCCAGTGACGCCAGGAAGTACGACGAGCCAATGAAGCGGAGTGGAAGCAGAGACCGTCTGGAACGCTCGCCATCACCTCCCTCCATTGCCATACCTGTGCCCCGCCCTGCCCGGGACCTGGAGCCACTGGAGAAACCCCTGAATGTACTGCTGCTGAAGAACCGGCCCAATGAAGGTGAGAAACTATCAAACCTTGTTATGAGTTACTACTGTTAGGCTGTTAGACCCCATTCTGAGGAACAACATATGTAGTTTGTACTTTTTCAAACAGATAACGCAGTTTGTTTTTTGTTACAGCAAGTAGGACTGGGGGTATTTTCTTGAAATGATAAAACGTTTTAAAATTTTAAATTACTTGTTTCTGTACCAATGCCAAAGCGAGAAAACTATTGCATCTGTCAAAGAACATGGAGGAAGAAGAAGATATATTTACTGTATATTCATAACTGTCTGATCAGAGAATTAGAAGAAGTAAATGAGCACCAGTCAGATCAGATATTCGATGCCAGCTGTTTGGGCATCTGAGAAACTGTTTCCTACTAAAAATTGTATGCTTTGACAGAGCATTTTTAATAAATGTAAAAATTCTTTTTTACCATCTTTTCCAGAGTATGGCCTGCGTCTGGGCAGCCAGCTCTTCATCAAAGAGATGACCAACACAGGGCTTGCCAACAGAGATGGGAACTTGCAGGAAGGAGACATTATATTAAAGGTAGGGTCAAGGTTTGTCCTCAAAGTGCAGATCGTGAGCAGGCTTCAGAAAAGGATTGAAAATGATTATGTTCATTATTAATTAATCTCCCTCACTGTCTCATTTTGTTTAATATTTGACTCCTGAAAATGTCAAAAATACTGAAATATGCTCATGACAAGTTTCCAGAGGCAAAAGGGATGTTTTCAAAAAGCTTATTGTATTGATCAACACTCCAAAACCCAAAGATATTCAATTTAGAATTAAATAAAAAAGAATAGAGGAGCAAATCCTCACACTTGAGGACTGGACAAAGAAAATATTTAGCATTTGTGCTTAATAAATTACTCATTTGAATATCAAAATTATTTTCACTACATGGTGTTTGGTCATTTAGCATGCTGGGTATCTTAATAAAAATAAATCAAAAGAAGATCTCTGTCTTGTTTTATTTCAGGGCAGCATCAAAGTCTCTGACAGTATTTTATCATGATCACTCTATCTGCAGAACAACACTGCCTGAATACATAACTGCACAGGGTTCATACTAGAGCATTGTTTCTTTGTAGTTAGGGCAGTGATAAGCAATTTGAATGTGTCCTAATTCTCTCTCTCTCTCTCTCTCTCTCTCTCTCTCTCTCTCTCTCCCCCCTCCCTCTGTCAGATTAACGGTACAGTGACAGAAAACCTGTCTCTCAGCGACGCAGGGAAGCTGATCGAGAAGTCTCGCGGGAAGCTGCAGCTGGTGGTGCAGAGGGACAGACGGCAGGTGCTGATCCGAGTCCCCCCGATGGTCGACAGCGACTCGGAGCTCGATGGTGAGCGACAGTCGAAACTGAAAAGCAGCCGATCCTATCCATTGTAGAGGCAAACCTGGCGAGTGGCCACCACCATCACATATAAAACCCACTGCGTATGAACTTCATACCGACACATGAATCAACTGTGGAAACGTTATTGCCATTATTGTTGTTGTAAATGTCCACCAAACCTGTTTACCCTTCATAAAATAAAAGATTTACTCACATCAGTTTTTAGTATTCTTGAAATACTTAATGTGTCCAAATATTTTACATTGCAGTACTATGAGCTAACCAGAGATTCACCAAACCGTCATCATTCCTCCACCGTTGTGATTACCCACTCTTTTATACCTGATTTTAATGTCACATGACCAGATGACATGCTGTGATTGGTCAGAACCAATGTAGCTAAGTGGTGTGAGTGGATTGTTCGCTGACCAAATGTTTGCCGGGAGGGGGGGGGGGTATATCCGGAAGACTTGTGACCCATTTTGTCTGGTTTTGGGACGGTGTGTGTTTGTGTGTGTGTGTGTGTGAGTGAGAGAGAGTGTGTGTCTATGTGTGAAAATGCTCACTAGCTTTAGGCAGGGTGATCTAATCCCCCGTCATAATCCTGCTATTGGATATAACGGAATTTCATTATGTTAAGGTTAGCCCCACAGCAGCCCTCTGGTTTCTGTCATCCAGGACCCCTCTCTGTAAAGATCTCTAAGAAAATAGGGACTGATTGTGCGTGTGAGTACAGATTTTCAGCTCAGCAAGCTTCAGATCACCTGTTTTGCATCTACATCTAATTTTTCTTTGTAATTTTATTGCTGCATTTCATCAATCCTGCCATGCTAATGCAATCTAGCCTTTATATCTAAGTTTAAAGTGCTTGTCGTAGTTCAGTGTATGATCAAGATCCGTGGAGCTGGCACATATAATTACTGGGCGTGCTCCACTTTGTGTAGGAATGTGACCTTCATTTGTGTTGCACCTGTGTGTGTTTGTGCCTTTTCTGCTTCCATGACCTGTGGGCCATTTCAGTCGTGTAAAAGCCACATTATGTATTTAAAAAAACAAGAAAAGGAAACACATCAGGGAGAAATTAAACACTTTACTCTTTCAGACATGGTTTTTACTGTTTACCTGAACATGAAGACACTACGGAAGCCAAAGACCTCATAGACAGTTTGTTGTTGTGTGTTGCAGATATCTCAGAGATCGAGTCGTACCGCTCCTACTCTCCACAGGATGACAGGCGGGGCCACCACTCCGACCTCTCCTCCCACTCATCCAATGAGAGGCTTAGAGAGAAGCCCAGGTAAGCTGTCATTAAATCTTCCGCCACGTGAAGGAAGTGTTTCCCCTGCCTAAATATTGAACTGCTGGATTTATAATACTGCTTTACTAAGATTTCCCAGTGTTTTTATTATCTGTGCTGTTAAATACAGCAGACAAATCAGGATAATGCAGGATTATGTTTATTTATGCTTCATGAGGCTTAGCCCAATCATCACAATAAATCTGATGAATGGAATTCCATTGGTGATAATTATCATCTTCTTATCTTGTGGATTTTAATATGACTAGGAATTTCTCTGCATAGCATAAGTGCTGTAACGTTTGAGTTGTCTGTATATTTATTTATTTTTTGTCAGCCATTTTGCCTTCATCTTGACAGTATTGTGGATCAGGCTTGGCGGTTGTCCTAGATCATCCTATTAGAGATTAGACATATCCTGATACTTTACTTTGTGACATTACCAGAGAGGACCCACCCAACAGGCTGGCAAAAATGGGAGCCATGCCGACACCATTCAGAGTTCCCGACCGAGCTGTTGAAGACATGCCCCCTTTGCAGGCAGAGAGGGAGGAACCGCGCGCAGAAACACCACCAGGTAAACGCGTGTCTCCTTCTGATCATGATCAAAGCTTTACAAAGCTTTGATCATGATCAAAGCTGTGAATGCTGCACCTTGAAAACATGAGGTTTCTTTTCTGTTTCTGCAGTACCGGTGGTCACTGTCCCAAAGGTTCGTGCTCCTCCTAAGGTGCCACTGAAGCCGAGCATAGAGGACCAAGAAGTATATGGGTCAGTGCATCGCATGTTATGAGGGTGACACTGTCTAGATTTCTGACCACACATCTAAGCCAGAGACCATAATAAGGATTGTTTATGAATTTCTTTCTTTTTTCCTTCCACTTTTTGGGACTATGTGTAATGGAGTTTTGCTTTCATCGTCCAGGCCGAACACAATGATGGTGCGTTTCCAAAAAGGTGACAGCGTGGGTCTGAGGCTGGCGGGGGGGAATGATGTCGGCATCTTCATCGCTGGCGTTCAGGAAGATAGCGCGGCCGAGCAGGAAGGTCTCGTCACAGGAGATCAGATCATGAAGGTGAGACTTCTTTTATTCCTCAAACACCTGCAGATAAAACACTCAGATGGCTCAACGGCACAATCAAGATCCTCATTAGACCCAGACCCAGGGTGTAGGTACCTAAACCTTAACTGAGAAGTTAGCAGCCCTTCATTAACTGGAGTGCCAGTGATCTGGTATCTTAGGCCATTTTTACACAAAGGAATATTTGATCTGCTGGCCATGTTGTATTTAAGTCTATTCTACAGTATACTATACCACTTGTTCTAATGGTATTTCTTATCTGTTTTATCTGTTTCAGGTGAACAACATGGACTTCAGAGGCATGGTGCGTGAAGATGCTGTCCTCTACCTCCTAGACATTCCGAAAGGAGAAGATGTAACTATTCTTTCTCAACGGAAACCTGAAGGTACTGTGTAGTGGGGATGTATTGATCAGACTTTTTCCCTCCCCTATACCGATACTGATACCTATACCTGGGTTTTGGGTATTGGCCGATGCTAAGTAGCGGTCCGATACCGGTGTAAAATTAATAAACCGTATTCCTCACTGTGAGGAAGAGACTCAGAATCATTTATGTGTATGTAAACATCAGATTTCACTTAATTGAACTGAATAGGTCAGCCCTATATCGAGCTATTTGAGTCAGGGCCAATATCAGTGTCGGATTTAAGCATGCCTGCTATATAGATAATAGCTGCTAATGAAACTAATAGAAATATATATCGCTATCGATAACAACATTTTTTAAAATGAAAGGTAAATGCAGCAGATAAATACGAGCGCACACTAAAGTTGACAAACACCTGTGCATATACTAAAAAGGCATAAATTCAACAGCTTTTGTAGTGGAAGTCCAAATTAAGATGCACAATCAATATATTGCAGATTCAGTGAACTGTCCACACCAATGACAGTATAAGGTTAGGTGTGTCTGTATAGCAATAAATATTTAGATTTTTGAATACATTTACAGAGATGCACTGTGTAGATGGATAAAAGCAATGTACTCCTAATTGAACCCAGAGGTACACCAAATCCACCGTCAGGTTGAGTCATTTATATAGTTTTAGTTGTTAGCGGGATGTCACGAAAACTTTTTTGTTTTACTGTTACCTTGTTTGGGGTCCGCTCCTTCGTCCCGCGCTATTTTCTCTCTCTTCCTCCACTTTGCAAACAGGCGCCATCACAATCATGTTGTGTTCACTTGATCACAATGTAAGCGCAATGTGCAACAGTAATAATTGTCCGTGCAAAACAGTGCGCTATAAAATTATATGGATTAAACAAAGCATCGCTGCAAATAATTAGTGTCGATGCTTCTTGGTAATCGAATTAATTGAATTAATCAAATTAATCAAATTTATCGATAAATCATTTTAGCCCTAGTTACCACCCTTAAGCATTTCACACCTGTGACTAGTTAAGTTAAAAAGTTAAGAAAATGTATTAATTCATTAGTTATGCACATTGTAATGTTGTTGTAATTTCAATAGCTTGCTCATTTATGAATATTTTGACATCAAACCACCTTCCCTCCTGAACATCCACATCCACTCACAATTTTCACAGCTGTTATTTGTTATTTTGTTATTTTTTTTTATAAGGTTCAAATGTTTTAATTAAAGAGTGTATGTTTGCAGTACGTGGGATTTATTGTTTTGTTTTTAACCGTATTTAATTTGGTATCGTGATTAATGGAATTTCACGCGTATTGGTATTGACTACTAAATTTCTGATATTGTCACAACCCTAGTTGTTTTTGTAGTTTTATGGTCTTTAGTACTAGACCTTCAAGGTCAGTAGTAGGATTATGCCTTGTTATACTCAGTGTGGCTCATGTGGCAGAGCTTGTTAATTGGAAGATTGGAGGTTCAATCCCCGGCTCCTCCAGGCTGCATGTTGAAGTGTCCTTGGGCAAGATACTGAACCCCGAATTGCCCCCGATGGCTTAATGCCACCCCACTTAATGTGTGTGAATGTTAGATTCTGTTTGAGCACTTAGGCTCAGTTATGAATGTGTGTGAAGGTGCTATACCAATACAGAGCATTTACATTTACTTTCAGTGAGTAGATGGGCCCAGAATGACCGGGTGCCCCCCACCATTTGTCTTCTCTTTCAGTGTACAAGGACATTTTAGCATCTGGCAGAGGCGACTCTTTCTTCATCAGGACCCACTTTGAGTATGAGAAGGAGGCTCCTCAAAGTCTTCCTTTCACCAGAGGAGACATTTTCAAAGTGACAGACACGCTTTATGATGGCAAACTAGGCAACTGGCTGGCAATCCGCTCTGACAAAGACAACCAGCTGTTGGAGAAAGGAATTATCCCCAACAAGAGCAGGTATGTGCAGGGACGGTGGTCATGTATGTAGGGTTATTTGTATTTGTTAAATTAATGGGTACAATATTGGTGCATCTGTAATGTTAGTGACGGTCATGGTAGCACAAATTCCAGTGATTAACTGGTTTTGGATCAGTTGGCTACAACTGATTGCTCAGATCAGCTCTACGGTCCAGCATAACAAGGTCTCTGCTTCATCAAGAGACATACAAACCATGTAGGGTGGAAAGTTGAAACTTTTAGAATGACCAAACACAATTGGTTATTAGATGTGGTGCTGACTAAAACTCCTTTTTATTTTGTGTTACAGAGCAGAGCAAATGTCCAACGCCCAGAATGCTGCTCGGGCAGCATCAGGCAACGACAGAGGAGACTTCTGGAGGTTGAGAGGTCAAAGGGCCGCAAAGAAGAAAGACATGCGCAAGAGCAGAGAGGACCTGAGCGCAGCTCCGGTCACAACACGATTCCCTGCCTACGAGAGAGTGGTGTTACGTGAAGGTACCCCCAAAAAAAGTTTATTCTACAGTTTCACACGGAATGTATTTTGCAGTCATTTGTTTATCCTGTGTACTTGTAGCTAAGCGTGTGTTCTGTTTGTTTGTTTGTTTCAGCTGGTTTCAGGAGACCTGTGGTGATATTTGGCCCTATTTCCGATGCAGTGAATGAAAAACTGGCCAACGACATGCCGAACATGTTTGTCGTCGCCAGTAAGTGCTTACATTATCACCTCTTCATTGAAGTTTTAAAATGTATGGAGAAAACTCTGTGTGCCTGTGTAGTTTAACATAAATATTGAATTTGTGAAAGTATTTTAGGGTGACGAATTCTTGCTCATGTATCATTTCTTTCCCAAGAAACGGAGCCGAAGGATGCAGGAAGTGAAAAATCCTCCGGAGTAGTGAGACTAAACACCATCAGACAAATCATTGAACAGGTATACTATTAAACCAAAATGCAGCTTCATGAGAATACTGTAAAAATCATCTAAACTTCATCCACCTCCCCGTTTCCTCAGGACCGCCACGCTCTGCTGGACGTGACTCCCAAAGCTGTGGACACTCTGAACTACACCCAGTGGTATCCCATTGTCATCTTTCTGAACCCAGACAGCAAACAAGGCGTCAAGACCATGAGGAACCGCCTCGTACCCGGCTCTTCCCGCAGTGCACGCAAACTGTATGAGCAGGCGGTCAAGCTGAGGAAGACCTGCTCACACCTTTTCACTGGTAGGTTTTATTAGGAGAATGGCTGTTATTCTGACAATAATTGTATAAAAGTTACAAGGTGTACAAGTAAAAAAAACAAGACAAAGATCAAGAAAATGCTCTTTTAAACCATTATTTTTAATAAAGGATGCAAGAGACGTAACTGAATCTTCACGCCTCAGTTCCTTTAGCTGCCTTTTCTTTACTTTTGTAAAGATTTTGTTCAGGAAATTGTTATTGTCTCACCACCTTCAACTTAAGAGTACTCCACAGATTTAACATTGCAGTCATATATAATATTTAAAAAAATCCCCCTCTCACCCTCCTCGCGGGGTGGTACGTGTCATCCTCAAGCTCGGGTCCTCTACCAGAGGCCTGGGAGTTTGAGGGTTCTGCGCAGTATCTCAGCTGTTCCTTGGACTGCACTCTTCTGGACAGAGACCTCTGATGTTTTACCTGGAATCTGCTGTAGCCACTCTGCCAGTTTGGGGGTCACGGTCCCCAGTGGTCCGATTACCACTGGCACCACTGTTGCTCTTACTTTCCACATCTTTTCTAGCTCCTCTTTCAGCCCTTGGTATTTCTCAAGCTTCTCGTGTTCCTTCTTCTTGATGTTGCTGTCGCTTGGGATTGCCACTTCTATCGCTGCAGCCTTCTTCTGCTGTTTGTCGATCACCAGTTTGTCAGTCTGGATCTCCCACAGGATCTTAGCTTGGTCATTCTCAACTACCTTAGGAGGTGTCTTCCATTTTGCCATTTTGCCACATCTGCCTTAGGCAAGGTCCTTAATGCCACCAGCCTACCTCAGGCATGAGTGAAACCGCAAATACAAGAGCCATTCTGCTTTTTGTGTATCATTAAGGTTCACACTGATTAACTGACACATTATTGGTGATCTTGGCCTAACTTGTGGTGTGTGTTTGTTTGTTTTGCGCACATGTCTAGCGACAATCAACCTGAACTCTGCCAACGACGCATGGTACGGCAGCGTGAAAGATTCCATTCAGGAGCAGCAGGACAGAGCTGTGTGGGTGTGTGAGGGCAAGGTGAGTTTTTTTTATATGTGTATATGACAAACTGCTGTTGATAGACATTTAAAAAATGACATATGTTTTCACGTAAGTTTAATGGGCTCCAAGAATAGACCATTGCATGAACATTTCAGTTATGTGAGTCAGAACACACCCAGAATTGAGTTTGTCACTTCCTCTCCTCAGTTGGACGGTTCAGAGGAGGACCTGGATCTCCATGACGACCGCATGTCCTACCTATCAACGATGAGCGCAGACTACCTGAGCATGGACAGCCGCCTGAACAGCGACTACGAAGACACAGCGGATGAGGGCGGGGCTTACACTGACAATGAGCTGGACGAGCCATTGGACGAGCTCCAGCCGGTGTCGGCCATCAGTCGATCATCTGAGCCCGTACTGCCAGATGAGGTGGGAATGCCCGCTGATACCATGTGAAATACTGAGAGCCCCCCCTTTTAATTGTGTTAAATGTTTAAAAATGTGTGTGTTTGCATAATCTGACCGTGACAACCCGTGTGTGTGTGTGTGTGTGTGTGTGTAGAAACCTCACCCTGAACCCCGGGTTCGTATAAGAAGGGCAGGGAGCAGGGAGAAGACAAACAGAGAGCCCAGCCCTCCCCCTTCTTTTGTCCCTGAACCCCCAAAGGTAAGATCTCCCCCCCCCCTTCCTCCCCAAAATCTCTATATCTACACTTTTCCTGTAATGAGTAATACCAAAGTATGTCAAATTCAGACAGGAAATTAGTTGGGAGCTGCGATCAAGAAAAAAGATATTGGAACTAGTTTTGAATATAGCAAATTTTATTAAGAACATATGTTCAAAACAGTACAAAAAACTACAATATACATATTACACATTGAGCTAAAGACATAAAATGTCAACAACAAATAATTAATCCAGTACTTAATAATAAAGCAGATAAGTAAATGAAAACATAAATATGAAAGTAAATGAATATAAATTTTTTGCTTCAGGAGTTATTCAAAGAAAATCAAGTAAAAGCCATCTGCACTTTATATTTTATATATATATATTAGAGAGAGAAAGAAAAAATTAAAGATGAATCCTTGGACCAGCCTTTAAACGTTCAGTGTGTAAGTTCTAGTGACATCTAGTAGTGGGGGTTGCAAATTGCACCCCCCTCCCCTACCCAAGCGAGCAGTATAGCTACGGTGCCTGAGACAGGACAAAGATCTATGAGATAAGAGATTACCATTCAAGAAATGTGGTTTCTTCTAGATATATTAAGAAATTACATAAAACCATGTTTTTTGTTTTTTTTATATTATAGTTACTTTTTCATTAACAAACAACAGCCACATGAAGAAATGAAGTGCTACATGATGTCTCATACTCCTGTAACACATTATTTTACATCTTTGGAGGTTTGGCTCGTCTGGACTAATATACCAAAGTAAATCAAAAACTATCACATCGAGTGCATCAAGTATGACCACTGACAGATACCAGGACAACGTAAGCCTCACTGTTTCTGCACCACAGTCCATTATAAACCACATAATACATGAAGTTTACAAAGGCATAGTCAATTATCAAAGATCCTCTCGCTTTGTTTAATTAGATGAGCAATCTGTAAATAATATTATAATGTATTTTAGAATTTTTTGAAATACAACAGAAACACAAAGTAGTACTGACAGCCATAATTTCAGCTTGTGGTAAAATGGTGCAACGTTTTCTAATAGGCATTTAGCATGTGAAAGTACAAATTACACATTTGTGTTCACAGTGGGAAGGTCTTGTTATACATCACCATTAGCAGTAAAAAGAAATACATGTTTTCCACCAAGGTAGTAAAATGTGAAGTTTAGCTGCTGGTCTGAGCTTCCCTGCTGTTACCGATTCATTACCAATAATATTCATCAGCTGTCTCAGGAAGGTAACTGCACATTTCTGTCCATGTAACAAAGCCATAACAAGCTGGAGAAGAACTACATGAAGTTACAATCCAACAACATATTTTTTTCCAAATTTAGCAGGCTAATCTGAGCTTCGATGCTGGAAGCTGCCGTTTTATTGCCAATTAGCGATCAGCTGATTCTAAAGAACGTAACATACAAAGCCAAAGCACAGTGCTGGAGAATAAACCCATCCAACTAACAATAAATGTTTTTCTACCAGTCAGTAAAAGCTTAGCTGGCTGATGCTTCCATGCTCTAAGCTAATGTTACGGTTTTATTGCCAGTTAACGTTACTGATCAGCTGATTGTCTCGCTAAGGTAACCGACAAAGCCAAACCACAGGCTGGAGAATAAGTAGGCGACATGAAATTAATCCATATTTCACACCACTGACAGGGGAAACATGTCACGGCTCTCTGTGATTATGACCATCTTTCATTTGCATCGCTAAAGTCTGACAAACAAAGTTAATTACCTGTCCAGCAGAAAACAGACAACTTCAGCTCCGCTTTGAAAACATCTGTCCCACATTAACGTTATGGCCTTCCATCTGGGAAAATCCACAAAATCCGTGATTTCTGCTGTCCCAACGCCGTCTGTGCTGTCGGCTCTCGTGCTAAATAACACGTGTGTGTGCTCCTTCATTTGTCCAAATGTCACTTCTCTTCTTACTTCTAATAAACCAGAGGACTACACAGAGACTGTATATTACTATTATTATTTCCTCTTCTTCTTTGTAAGTATTCAATGTAGTGACGGGCATCTACACAAGCAGAAGAAGAACGCCGTGATGATGACGTGTTTGTTCGTTGTCGGCTACAGTAGAAACATGACAACAAAATACAGCAACCTCCACAGCAGGGGGTGCCCGCGGTTATGTAGATATAAATGTCTCATTCTAAGATAATAAAAACATAACGGTTCATTATGTAAGGACTTTACACACCACTGAAAACATAGTTATGGGTCTTATATTGCTTTTCTGTCGACAGAGCCTCAGAAATATTACACACTGGACCTTTAAAACGCACCTAGAAGTGCAGAACAGCAGCTCGCAGGTCTGAACAGGCGTTTTAATGTGAAGGAGCACCGTGCTGAAGCAGGACATCCTCACCAGAACACCATCAGGCAGCTAAATAACGGTTTCAAATGGTCCAAATATGAACATACCTTTCCTGTGACAGGTGCGGGCTCAGACTCGGACTGAGTCATCACGCAGCTATGACTCACACTCCAGCAGCACCATCAGTAGTGACGCAGCGGGCGGAAACAAGCCGCCTCCCCCTCCTGTGGCCCAGAAGCCCCCCGTCACCCGTCTGAACCAGCCGGAGGAGGAGGACCCCGCCGCAACATCCTTCCTGGGCAAGGTGAGACAAATTAGTTTCTATTCCAACCTGTTAATATCCACTATATTATTATTACTATTATATCCATTGAATATAGTTTATTTCTGTCTACCATTTTATTATGTATATTGTCTGCTACATAGCAGTAGTTAACAAATTCGTAGCAATACGTGCGTCGAAGCATAGCTGCATCCGGTGTTAGTGGGATTCCCCCGGACAAGCTCCTGCCACAAGACCGCGCCTTCGACCGGCTAAAGTTTGGGAGTATTTTAGACAGACACTCAACAACGTGCTGCTCCGTGAGCTCTGTGAACAGGAAATGGCTTCACTGCTGCACAACTGCAGTCCACGAATACATGAAGTAGCATGAACACGCACGCACTGACGGTAGCACCGCAAATCCTGTTTACTTTCTGTCTCCACACAAGCACGGCACATTATCAGCACGAGGACACGTAGTCCGTTAAAATGAATTCGTATTTCTTCATCGCCTTAACGGGGCACGTATGAGCGAGAAAACAGCTGAAACTAACAGTACAGACAATCTGTGACGGTCTGCACAATGTGTGCATCGTCTCAATAGTTTTCTTTGCCCCACACTGATGCAGAAATACATTTAATTATCTTACTGTATTACTCAATATTGAAATAAATCCATGTTAGAAACATTTAAAGTTTTAAGTAAAGCAGCCTAATTAATGTCTGTTATTATTATTAACACATCAGTGACGTGGAAATTGGATTCATTTTAAGATATACTTCTATTGTCATTATTCTGATGTGCTTCATCAGGACGACTGAATAAAATATTAATATATTTATTAGATAATTTAATTTGGATAAATTGGTTTGTTAATTGAGTAATAAGCACCATTTTTGCCTTTAGAATACACAAAATTAGTCGTTAGATTAAGCTATCCATGCATCCATCGTCAACCGCTTATCCTGCATACAGGGTCACACAGGGTGTTAGATTAATCGATCGAATTGAAAAAATAATCGTTACTTACAGCCCTATTTTATTGTAACAAATAAATCAACCTTGTAACCTAAATCTAAAACCTCCCTATTTTTCTTGCTCATCCTGCATTTAGAATATTTTTTCTTATGTTTAAATGAATTATATATTTCATTTTATTCCTCTTTTTTTCTTTCATTGCTTCTAATATGACTAGAAAATGGGTGACCAGGTAACTTAATGTGTCTGCGTTCGTCTTAAATGTTTGTGGCCCTCCTTTAACAGCCATAATTATTCACCATCCACAATAACACTGTTCTGGTGTCTGCATTTCATCAAATTCTCACACTCTCTCATATTAAAGACACTTTAATATGAGTTATGTCGTGCATCAACTAGTAATCATCAAAACTGGAATATTTAATCAATTTCTTTACTTTCTCCTAGATCAAAGCTTTTGAGAAGATGGACCACCTGGCCCGAGCTCAGAGACTCCTGGAGCTGCAAGAAGCAGAAAATGCTCGAGTCAGTTTCAGATGTTTTCATGTTTCTCTAAATACAGGCCTTATGTGTCCATATATATACATTGAGAAAGTTATTGGTTGCTGTGGTCTTTCTACCATCTACTCCTTAAACAATGGGATTCTAATGTGAGTTATGATGGACAAAATCCACAGTCGTGTTATGTGCACAAATGGATCTACAGTTCAGGCTGACGATCTACAGTTCAGGCTGACTGTGTGACAGTCTGTCGTGCAGCAGGGGTGTCAACGCATGAAGCACGTTTTGTCAGACCACAACGCAAAATCAGATGCGCTAAGGTGGCCAATCAAATGCATGCAAGAACGCATTCCTGGTAGATGTAAATAATGTGATGGAAGATTAAGTAGTTGCAAAATCCTGTCTGAGTAATATTAAAGGTCCTAGAATTCACCAATATTTTTACTCAAACTGGACTTCCTGGATCATATTTTGTCCTGTGGGTGGCTGCAACAACACAACAATCAAAGCGCAGCCTGTATTTGGTATCAGTGCCCACTAACATGAGAATTGAAATTTTTGTCTTTTTAGTGGCCACTAAGGGTGATCGGCCACCGATAAGTATTGGCCCATAATTTTTTTAAATAGTTTGATCGGTGGTCTCTGTAAAGGCTGATCAGATGATGCAATACATTTTTACATTTTACACGTTGCTAAAATTGTTCAAAGATAGTTAGCACTGAAGTCCTTTTCTGATGTGAATGGACTGACACGCCTAGTAAATTATTTTCAATGAGAGGCAAGCGGGCAGGAAGGGCCGTGCGAGCGATCTGACAGGCGGAGCAACAGGCGGGCGCGATTCTGTGAAGCGGTCGTGCTGGTTTCCCGCACATGCCCACACGCTGCTTGAATTGTGTGACTGAGAGACTGATCCTCGCTGTGTGTTAGTTTCCTGAGGAAGAGAGGGAGCAGCTCAGGCGCCACTCGCTCAGCTGTCGGCCCCTCTCTCTTTCTTTACCTCTCTCTGCTCTTCTCTCCACCCCTGGAAGAAAGCTGCCTGAGCTTACATAGTTTTTAAGAATAGTTAAATAAATATATAATGCTACACGATAAACATGAAGCTTCAAATGGAGTAATCGGTATCAGCTGATATCGCTTCCAGCAATCGGTGATGTGGATCTCTTGCATTGAAATGGCTTTAGGGAGGGAGCTCTTTACGACAAGTGTGGAGAGGAGGAATGATTACAGCAACCAATAGAGCTTTCAATGTACATGTGAGTATTGTTTTAAGGTAGTAAAAATATGAATGTCTCCCTTAAATAAGGAGTTCAACAAAGCTACAAAAAGACTTGTAGCCTCTTGGGCTCCACGTTGAGTTTGGAGGTCTTGTGTTTTGTTTTGTTTTTTTTAAATGTTGTATTGGTTCTGAATTTATCTGGGTTGGTTCTCTTCTCTCTACACAGTTGGAAATTGCACAGAAGCATCCAGACATCTACGCCGTCCCAGTCAAACTGCCAAAGCCCAACCTCAACCGTCCTCAGCCAATAGGGTGAGAGCATCACTCATCTTTGTAACGCAATAAAAAATTACATATTTATTAAGATAATTAAGCATTAGTCGTATAAAAGAGAACGCTAAACTGCTTGTGTGTGTGCTCGCGCAGTTCAAGCTCCAATCCCGAGCAGCAGGCTCCGTTCAGGCCACCGTACTCCGAGACCAGAGGACACGAGGACGACGAGGCCGAGTACCGCAGACAGCTGGCCGACCAGACCAAGAGAGGGTACTACAATCCTCAGAAATACAAAGACACGGAGCTGTAGGTCGGGAAACCAGGACGTGACATCACCGCTGCACGCGGCTGGATTCCTCCCGCGTCATCGCTACAAGCAAACAGCGCTCGCTGCCTTGGTAACGGCTTAGGCAGCTTTACCTCTTTACCTTTTACATCAAGGTAAACTGTCAGAGCTTTGGTTGTAGTCACATTCCTGCGAAGATTTCAGCACTACTTTCAGACACTTTTCAGCACTGCTGTCTCACTACTGTACATGTTGTACAAAAGCCGTACGCTGATCCCTGCGACAATATTCTTATGAAGTGTGAGGTTTTATTTTTCCCCGCTACATTAACACCTAGCCCCAGTTGTTGTATCTCGTGTATAACCATTGCATTTGAAAGAGCAAAGCATGTTTTTCTGAAAGATAAATACCCCCACATCTTTTTTTTTTGTTTGTTTGTTTGTTTGTTTGTGAATCCACAAAGACTCTTCTAAACATCTGGAAGAAAACTATTATGTCCCCTGCACAAGACAACCGCCATATTTCCTTGCTCATTTTGTAAAAACGTGATGTTGTGTATAACATCAGAACACTAAGGAACAATACAGACAGCTTCTCATACATATTGACTAAGGACATATGACCGGCTACTCCAGCTACCTTTGTTTTGATTATGAAGCAATCACAACTTCTAAGCTCAAAAGCTTAATCGTGCAGCAGATTAAATCTTTTTTTTCACCCAGGTAGTTCGAAGAGTCTTTGAGGATTCTGGAAATACCTTCAGAACATCTGTATGTGTTGTTAGATGACCATTTGGGTTTTTCAAAGATCACTAGGTATATATTTTTCCTTAAAACTGATGCTTTACCTCCTACACCATGCTGCAACCAAATCTTAGATACGGTACTGTAGACTGTGTACAGTATCTAGACTCTGGTTTTACATCTTATTACCAAGCTTTTTTTTTTTCCCCATTCATTGTTACAGCAGGCATGTTCATACAGTAATGAAGTGTTTCAGTGTGGGTTATGCACTCTGTCAGCAGCTGCTCTGATGTAATAGGTGTTAAACTTCCTCTTCTTATCACTCTCCTGCCAAGTCTTCTCTGGTTTATTGTAAGCCTCTACATTCCTGATTGGACATCTGTATATACACTACACCGTGTATTTTTGGTGCATTCTGGGAAGCGGCATATTTTCAAGTGCCTTGTAGCTCAAGGCATTGATGAACTTGTTCTTGCATATATGTTTTTTGTATTAAATATACAGTGAACTCAGTTGCGTCTTTGTACAGGGGAGCATCTGGAATGTGGTGATGACAATCATGTTTGATCAGTTTCTTGTCTTTTAGTTTGTGATTTTTCTCTTTTTTTTTGTTTGTGTTCTCCTTAGTGTTACAGAACAGACACAATTCAAATAAATGAATCTTTTTTTTTTTACACTGTGCCTTTAAGTGTCAGGTTCCACGTTTGTTCATGGGGCAGTTTGGAGAGATTAAAGAACGGGGTAATCTTGAAACCAACTTGTTTGTCCCAGATGTCTGGGTGAGATGCAATTTACAGCATGTTCAAATGGCTAAAGCAGTGCACTCTTCTCCGGGAGGCATTCATAGGGTGCGTTAGTATTTTAATACCTAGTATGCCAAATGCAGTATTCCAAAAATACCAGGATGTCCTACTGCATCTGGTCCCATTGTGCAGTATGCATGCTTTTCTGGCTATTCTGAACCGCAATAGTATGCTATTTGAAACGCCTACACTCTCACCTCGGTGGACAACTGGCCAATGACTGAAGTAGGGGTGTTTAGATAAAGAAAATTGTCTCTTTTCTCTTTTTAGATTCTGAAATGTTTTTAGAAAGATAATGGCTGGGTTTGAAAGGTTTCTTGCATACCTCAAACATGCATTTATTTCTTATTACACTCGAACTATAGCATTTTCTGAATTAACACCCAACTGCATTCAGTTTAAATTCTGTTGAATAAAACAAACCAGAAATGACTGACCACTGCCTTTTCTTTAGTTTATTCAGCAGAATTGTACATGCATCCTCCTTTAACTTCACCACTTCAATTTAAAAGTTATTTATCATCTGGGTCGCCCTGACAATTTATAGGTCCAACATGATTAAAGTACATTCAGATATTACAGCTATTTGCCACCTAAATATGCACACAATAAAACCCACTATCTCTTTGGTCCAACATAACACATCACATTAACACTCGGCCTCGTGAGATAATCTGTCTTCTGCTGTCATACTGTAGATGTACATGTTTACATGACAGTGTACTGTACAGATTAAGGCAAGTCAAGTGATATCAAACGGGACAAAGAGAGGAGAAGGTATTTAAAACAACTGAGATGGATGGACAGTAGTAAAGAGACTGAGTGATGTGGTAAAAAGAGAGTGAGAAGTGTGTGTTCAGATGTAGACGGGTTGCTCCTGTGCTGTCAGCAGACGGTACATGGCTGCAGGCATCGTCTTCATGTGGATCTGGAGCAGAAAGAAGCCAAATTATGAGAATAAAAAAAGCAGAACAAACCTACTGATGTTGTTGATATTTTTAGACCCCAGCAGTACAGCTCAAAATTTTGACCAGTGTGGTGCTGCAGGAAAGGTCATGGGGTCAATCAATCTTCTTGGGAGGAGGAATGTGACACGTCTTTTAGACATTAAAACATTTATTTGGATGAAAATGGAGAGCAGAAATTTTGGCTCAATGGTGACACAACAGAGACCATGTGGTCTGTGATATAATTAGGATTCCCCCTCTGGGGAACTATGATGAAACTCCTGAGAATATGGCTGTGAATTTTTAGGTTAAGGTCATGAACCAAAGTATCCAAACTCAATTCTGAATCATCTTTTTGGGACCATAAATACCGTAAATTCTCATAATACAAAGTATTCAAATAGTGCCCCCGGTCTGCAGTAATAAGGTCGGATGGGTGGTGGAATTAACTGTACTGTAAAAGCTGACATGGTGGCTCATTAAAGAAATACAGTTTTCATTCAGTAATTAAGTCCTGTTGCTTCACGCTTGTTGCTTTTTCAGTCTCTTATTAAGCTATCATCAATCATAAAAGCTATGCTAGAAATGATACCCTTTCTGCTATGGGCTTGCTTTTACTGTGAAACATCTGTGCAGGAAGTGTTGAGTTTCACTGATAATAGTTTAACCACAAATTTAAAAGATCTGACAGGCACACTTTCATGCAGGCAAACCTCATGTGGGAACAAATGTTCTTGTATATTTTGGGAAATCCTTAACTTGATTTCAAAAAGAGACACTTGGCAGTGCTCCTACCTCTCCTATGGCGTTGGACAGAATCTGAACGATCTTCTCGTGAGGCGTCGCCACAACACTTTGGCTGTTGATCTCGATGATGCGGTGACCGACGCGGACGCCTCCTCTCTCAGCGATGCCTCCCCTCATCAGGCTGCAGATCTGCGGGCAGGAAGTTAAAAACGCAGGGAGAGTGGGCTCAAACTGGCAGCCTCCTGTATGTAAGAACATTATTCTGACACTGTAACATGTCCAGAACAATAACTGCTTCATATCTTTTTCTAAGACACTGACACTGCTTTTAGTGCACTGTTAAAATAAAAGCCTCTCTTGAACATTTAGAGGACAGCAGGACTACCCCACAGTGGGACCACAGTTTGGCCACCTCCTCTGTGTCTGGGTGGGAGCTGCAGAGGAAGTGATCAGTACTCACAATGCCGTTCTGGACGCTAAAGCCCAGCTGGTATCTGAGGTCCGGCCTGCGGATGAGAACCATGGTGACAGGAGGACACCTGACAATGTTCATCTTGATCCTGGACTGAGACTTGAGACCCTGAAGGAATACAGAGTCAGGTTAGCTACAGGAGACGGACATCAAACAGGGACAAACACAGAGACATAGAGTTGTGGTAGAGGACATAGTTACAGGTGTGTGTGTGTGTGTGTGTTACAAAAAGATAATGACATATAAACCAAAGTTTTTCTTATATAGCTAAAGGCAATTTATTAGATGTGTGTTAGTTAAAAAGTAAAATAGTTTGAGTAGTGCAGGTTTTTCACAATATGCAAGTCGTTTTCAACCATTTCAATATTGCGACGCATGGGGAAAATGGGGACATGAACACTCCCGACTAAGAATTAACTGAGACTATTTTGGGTTAACTCACTTACTTGCATGTTTAGGTTTTAAAAACACAGTAGCAGTACCTTGATGATGCTCTGGCAGGTGCTGAGCGGTAAACCCACCAGACTGGTCCCGTTTATGGTCATGATCTGGTCTCCGATGTTGAGTCGCCCAGACTTCTCAGCCGGACCAGCATGCATCATGCTAGCGATGATGACGGTGGGGAGGATGGAGCCCCAGCCCGACTCCACTATCACCACGCCCAGGATCTCTCCTTTCTGCTTCTCGATGTAAACCTGCAAGGAAACACGTCAAGCTTTGTTTGTGCAGCTTCTCTAAGGCAGGACGGGCTCTTGTAGTGTCCTCATCATAAAGTCATGATTTGTAACCATTTCTGAACAGACTTCCTCCAGCTGGATAAACCATAGAATTAAATTAAAATCTTTAAACCCCTCCTGGTGAAGAAACACAGCATCAACGAGCTTATTGCGGCCAACAGCACCATTCAGAAAAAATGCGAGGCGGCAGCGAGAGGGGGGAGGAGGGTCTGAGGTCAGACCAGGCTGAGCGTCTCAAATTCACCTTCATACTGGGGTTAGTTTTTTTCAGGACAACTGTCACACAGCTGTGACTCCAAAACCAGCTGCTCATTTGAACCGCTGGAAGGCAAACTACTAGAGCAGGCTGAGCAGAAAACTAATGGCACTGGCTCACGGTTTAAATATTAACATGACTTGACCGGAACTGAAGGCTTGTGTTATTCTTAATCTGGACAAAAGTTGCACAAATCATACAATACATAAAGATCAGCCAATATATAAAGTGGAGTATTCAATTAAAGTCAAGCAGAAGTTTATTTTGTCAAGTTGAAACTGACCCCAGTGGAAAAATACACATTATTTAAGCACAAGTAGTAAATTAATCTCCTCTGTGACCGCACTGCCACCTGCTGGTTCACTTACGTCTCTGCAGTTCTCTGACTTGGAGAAGTGAATGAGGTCGTCGTTGTACATGTCCTGAGTGTTGAGCAGGTCGCTGTACTCCCTCTGGCTCAGATCCTCGGGGTCGATGCCGTTGGCCCTGAGGAACTCCTGGTAGGCGACGCTGAAAGACTGACCGATAGACTGAGCAATCAGCTGGGCCTGAGAGAGCGGGAAAGACGAGGACGGCGTGAAATGACGGTCATTTTGATACTCCCTGCCTCTGTCTGCGCAGGCCTCGTGTTTAAAAGGCTGGTTTCCATCACCCTATAAGACTCATGCATTGTACTGCAACACTTGTGAGGACCTTTATTACGTGCAGTAATACCAGTAATTCTAACCTTAACTCTCATCAATTCTTCAAGGCCTTGACATAAATACAATGACAAACATATTTTACAATACTTCCATGCATTAATCAGGATTTAGCAATATTTGAATCACAATCTGGTTTGTTTGCTTTTGTTTGTTAAGTTTGTTGTGTTAAACTAGTAATGAAAAATACAAACGAATATTTTTTCACCCTAAACGTTGGATTTCTTTTCTTCGTCAACCGTGTTCCCAGATCTCAGCAATTAACGAGTAATTATTACTATGTTATAATGACTTGATGGACGAACCTACAAAAATAAGAGCCAGGTTATAATTTGGCAGAATTATCCTTTAAACTGCAGTTCCTGTTCACAAGATGCTCCTCCAGGAAAACAATTTCAATTGAAAAAAAGTCTGAATTTCTCTCAAAACACATATTTAATATGTTTGATGCATAATCAAACATATCAGTGGTACCTTTCCTAATGTACTTCTTAGTGGCAGATGTTGCTACATAAAAGAAAAACACTGAATGGAATTCAGGTGGTTCTTGGACATAAAGGTGACTAGTTTCCTAGCTAACAAGATCCAGCACATAAACAATGAGTTGGTGGTGTATTTGTCTGCTTTTGGTGAAGGCTAACAGTTTTCCCTGCTTCCAGTGTTTATGCAAAGCGAGGCTAAACTTGTCCTGGGCCTAACTACACCTATGTACTGTACATAATAATATTTATACATTATAATCAAGTACTCACATCCTCGGACTCGAAGACGTGGCAGATCATCCTGTACAGCCGTCGGTCATCGTGGCTCATGGTGGTTTGCTCAGCTGTGCTGTCCAGGTTTTCCTGTGCGCTGCGGGACCGCACCATCTTTCCCCGGGCCATCAGCACAACCATGTTACCGATGTCAGCTATGTAGGAGATCGTCCTCAGTGGCAGGTCCATTAAAGACTCCTGGTGATCCAAAAAAGACAGAGGTACTTTTAATAAATCAGTTTTCTATGGGTCCCTGGTAACAACGTGTTACTGTGACATTATACCTGCTAAATAAAGAGGTTTTTTAATGAGGTTTGGAAAGAAAACTTGTTGCTCGGGTACTGTCAGCTTTGTTTTATGGGATCAACACCTTTTGTACGATGACATCGTCCCTCAAGTATTGAAAGAAAAAGTAATGTAAGGTATTTATTGATGAAGTCAGGTAAGTCAAAGCATACAGTCATTTTTATACCTGAGTGTCTGCATTGAGGACTTTGATCCTCTGCGTGGACATGAACAGATCAACCTCAGCAGTTGATGGAACCTCCCCGTCGGGGCTCTGCACAGCCGGAGAGAAACCACGAGAAAGGATGTGAACAGATGAAGCAACAGGTTGATGAACAGCAGCGAAGGAGACATGAGCGGGCGTCACAACGGTCAAGAGTCATCAAATGTAACGGCTACAGAGACTCAATGAATGAAAGCAAAACACCAATGTCTCGTGCAATCTGCACACGATAAGCGAAAGGAAATTATTATTTAAGTTAAAATGAAGAGAAGACAGGAAAATAAAAAGGTAAGTAAAGACCCTAAAAGGCCTTACATATGAAGACAGAGAGATCTGTTCACATCTAACATTAGCATTTGACCTCAGATGTCTGTGCACAAAATTCATCTTTTACATGAAACATATACAATCACAAAGCAAACGTACCTTTTTCCTGTTCTTTGCCTGCTTCTGAGCAGCCTGCGGAGATCAGAGAGCAGAATAGAGACTCAGAAAGTGACAAATCAAGACAACAGTATGAGAATATTGCTTTTTGGGTGGATCGCCAAAAACTCAATCGCCTCATTCACTGTGGACTGTCTCCATTCCAAATGCCAAATTAAAGGACAAAAGGACCTTAGTGGTGTATGTTGTGTGTGCGCGAGTGTGTGTGTGTGTGTGGGAGGACAGTGATGTTACTGTCTATCACATCTGACAACAGCAGGCTGCCAGGGGCCTTTGCAGCAAACATTATCAAAAGTTTCCTCTTCATCAATGTGACACAAACGACCCTGAAGAAAGAAAAGCGACCTTCTGGTGTTTCTGGCAGACGCCTCATCACAGCCCAGGGTTCGTGTTTCCAAATGTTGGCTAGCTTGTGCCTCCATTCACACTCACTAAACTCTGCCGGTGTTGATTCAAGGTTTAAAATCCAAACCTCTCTGCTCACCCTCATCAGCAGAGATGCCATTAAAGTGGATTTAATCTGTGAATTCAACGGGATGTGGCCCCGAATGTAGTACACTGTGTAAGCCATGTTAAGAGTTGAATGATTAAGAATAGTTATGTTAAAATCTCGTTTTTATAGGTGTCATTTTCAAGTTCAAGCATAGCTGCACTTTTAATTATTAAACTGTGTGTAGGCAGGTCTTTTTCTAAATAAACAACCTAGCTAATGGCATCACGTTGTTTTCAGACAGGTAGTTAGCAGCTGGCGCTCTGGTTGTCGAGTGTTGATAATTAATGATTAATGACAGCAGGCGTTTAGTGAACAGTAGCTGGAATCCCTCGGTTAAACTGGAATGAGATGAGTTTGTTTGGATTTGACTGGTACAAATTTATTTTATAGCTACATATATATTTTATTAAGTGTTTTAATGTGCGGGGACTGTACTGTTAAAACTCTGAAAATATAACTGGAGGTTATGAAACCGGCAATGGTAAGCAGCCTCATGGTGCTAGCTAGTTTTTATTCACTGTAGGCAGGAATATGTAAGTTTTTTTTTGTCTAAACTGTTCCAGACCCTGCCAGATGCTCACATTTCAACCACGCTGTTCGCGGGCTCCTCGTCCTCATCAGCTCGAGTCTGACTCCTGAGCCGTCACGGACGTCACCGTATATCACTGTGTTAAGAGCCGCCATGTCACCTTCAGTATGTCATTCATCTATATTTGGCAGACAATCTCATACAATAATCACCATCCGTCTTTCTACGCCATCCTCGACTGTCCCCAGTGTAAGGCTTTGGCTGCTGAAGTCAGTGTCCTTCTTCATAAAAGATAAAGATCTCTGCATTTTTATCAGTTTGTGAGCTATATTATTTTGTATTTTAAAAAAATACCACAAGAGAAAATAAAATGATAAGATCACGAATGTGAGAAAATATAAATAGGCTGTTTTTAAATGCAGGTGTGGGAAATCCTGACATGCAACAATTGCAGAAATGTATGTAAGTAAGCCCCTGAATCCAGTCCATTGTGTGAGTATTCACCCGATAGTGACCTTATTAAACGGATCAGGTATCAGCCAGGCATGACTGATCCACATTAAATATAGTTTTCTGTTCTAGTCAGTTCATTTGCTGAGGTTAACTAACACTAACTGCATAAAGCCAGCGCTGATACTAAATCATCATTTTCTGCTTCACATACTTCACAATGAATACATTTCAATGTGACGGTCTTAACTTGGGAGTTAATGTTACCAAAAACTTCTAAAACTGGATTCAGACGTTCTCTTGAATTTCAGATCGGTTCTGAGCCACTACCACGAATCTGACAAGTGAGATGTCAGCTCACCCAGCCTGTTAGACAGCGAGCCTCCACTCTGTCTTTTCCATTCCAGTGAAATAACTTATGTATCCCCCCCCCATCATTATACCTGTCTCTAACCCTCTCCTTCCCTCAGTGTCTCAGACCTTAACGGAGGCGATGTCCTGGAACTGTCAGTCAACCGTCCGGAAAGCAGAGTTCGGCTGAGCTCCTGTCCTCTTCCTGCCCCTGACATTCTTTACATGTCTCTCCAAAAATGGCATTACGTCTTACTGGTCATCTCTCACGCTCGCACAGTTCCATGTTTGAATGCCATGCTGTCACCGTAAGCCATCTTTCCCCACTCACTGCCCTCAACTGACCGCAAATCTGTTTTTGTTTTCGTGTGTGTCCAATATCAGCAGTGGATATTTCTTCTCACGTGAACAGCAAAAGCATCCCACCTGATATACGATTCAAGCAACATTTAATGTACTGATATACTTAGCTGAATCGCTGTGATCAAAGTTAAAAGTGTTTTCCTTAGCGTGATGCCTGTTTGACATCATGCGCTGTGACTGGAGCAGAAAGCGGAGTCTAGAGTCTCCGGGGCTTCGCAGCCTTGATCAACAATTTATATAACATCCAGCGGAGCCGAGGAGAAAAGCCTGTATGACTGCGGATCAGGAGCAGCGATCTGTGTATGATGCATTGTGCAGAAACCCGGGGACTTCTCGCCCGCTGGCTGTGTGTGTTGCCTGCTGAGGGTTTCTGACTTTAAAAAGACCCAAATATGAAGCGAATTTCAGTTACATCACTGATGATGTGTCCAAGTGTGTTAGAAAATGTATCTCCAAATGACCAATCTGTTGTAGGCACTATTATTAATTCAAAAACGTAACCCCTATATATACAGTCTAACAAGATGTAAGGTTGTGAAAATGATCTTATACCACACTGTCTGACAGTATCACAAAGTGTTAAAAGTGTTAACCACACCACTGTGCCACTTTGCCATTAGTTTGAGCACAACTCTGGTCGTGGGTATTACATATAAACTTCTAATTATTTATTTTTTACTTTTCTCTATTGATCTGTTACTTTTCTTGTCTCCTCTGAATTAGCTTGTTCCAACTCTTTACTGAAGCAAGTTTATACTTGAAATGCTAAAAACCCAGATTCTATGATTTTTTTTTTATGGCTTTACTATTTCATCAAATGGGAATATTGTAAATGTCTTGTGCATCATTTCAGACACATAACCCCAAATTCAAATTTTTGGAGGCTGAAGAAATAAGAAAATGTTTCTCTTCAGAGATATGACATTTTTATTTTATTTCTATAACAAGATGTAAAATATATGAACTAATATTTAGCCTTTGAATTGGAATAGTCTGTCAACAAAGGCAGGGATTGTACAAATAAATTTATAAACTAAAAATGGGCATCTTCAAGAGCTTCACTATGAGAAATAGAGGCTGTGTCAGAAATCGCTCCCTACCCTCTGCCATCTATTCTAGTGTCTGATTTCTGAACTGAACGATATAATGCTCATAAATATTCCTACAATGGAACGAAATAAGTAATGTCCATGGTATGTACCTGTATTCCACTTTCTGCTGACTATCCCACAATGCAATATGGCGCATTTTAATGAGGCAACACATTACAGTCAGGCAACACTACACCTGTCAGCGACGGTGATTGGCACGTATCCGGAATCTTAATTTACTTATGTATTTTCCTGTTCTTCCTCCACTATAAGACCGCGGAATTAAATAAAATAATCTGTGGTTTGCTCTCACCCGGACTCTGTTCATGGCCTCCTGGGCCTGCTGCATGCGGGCGCTCTTTGTGGGCGTCCTCTCTGACAGCAGGTGGGTGCAGCCCAGGTAGGTCGCCGCAAAGATGATGCCGTCAATAAGGTCTTCAGGGTCACATGGTCCCGGGACTGGTATGAATCAAATGCATTCGTTATGCACATGTTCACACATGCTTATACGTACCAGCACACAAACATACAGATTAAAAAATTAAGCTACGGCAATGATCTGGTAGAAAATTAGCCCAACATCTACAATATTGATACAGTTTTGAAATATGAGAGGACAGCCATGAACATAACTGAACAAAACTAAACCGCTTTTAAAATGTTATAGTATTCATGTCAACAGATGAAAAGAATGGAGATGGAGCTGAGGATGATATTATGATTTTCATGCGCGAGGCCACTCACCGTCCACAAACGTTGGAAATGGAGGAAGAGATCTACGAATCTGAGAAGGCACGAAAAGGAAAAACATCACCATCCTTCTTATTTCTCTCTCAGGTCTCTCCTAACTTATTTAATACTGCCAGACTTTAACTGCTGTCAGCCTTTTTAGCCGCTGGCAAATAAACCCCTTGTAAAAGATGCCTCCCTGACTTTGCAGGATTCATCATCCACGTTGCCATGGATTCAGTGAGCAATGCCGTCGTCTACAACGTGAGCCCAGGTTTTTTTTAGCCTGTATTTGCTAACATGTTGGCAAATTGGCAGCATTAAATGTATGGAAAATTAGCAATTAGAGGTTTCTGTTTGAAATGTGTCGATGGATGTGCAGACGACTGACACTGGATTACTTCAATACTGAAGAAAACTTAAAATGTGGTGAATCCTGCAAGTTCTGGAGTTATAAAGGAACTGCATTTTTTTTGATTTATGAATGTTTATTCACAAACTCTCACCTCCTGGACAGACGGCTGCTGTTGAGGCGACAGTGGTTGAACCTGTGGTCGCGGCTGCGGAGCCGGCAGCTGCTGATGCTGTGGATGCTGACGTTGTTGATGCTGGTTGGGCGGCATGTGCGCATACGGTTGGGGCTTTGTGTATGTCTGCGGCGGCCTCGCGGCGTCCCTCTGCTGTGGATGGTGGCCTTGGCGGTGGTGATGGCTGTGTTGGGGCTGCGGTTGGTGATAATGCTGAGGATGAGGAAGTGCTCTTGCGGACTCAGCCCTCAGCGGGCTAACCGGCTCCCGGACTGGAAGCGTAGCGGGGGCGTAGCGGGGCAGAGACTCAGACACTGACTTCGAAGGGGAGTGAGGAGAGGACTGAGAGAAGGAAACCGGGAGAGAGGAGAGAGTAAGAAAAAAATATTTTACAAAACACTATTTTGAACCTGCAATGCATCTACAGCAACTCAGCATACACCTCATTCTGACAACACATGATTCAGGATTTAGGCATTAATCCAAGTAACGCAACATGAAATGAGAGCCAGGGATGCGAATCTTAAGTTTGCTTTCTTCCTGAAAGCAATGAGATCAAAGTTTACTTATTGCAACACTGCAGTACGGCCTCAAAGGTATAGCTCAGTATTTTGGGAAAGAAATAGAAATAGCTGCAAGATAAAATGGTTACTTTTACACTTCTGCTCATGCTTTTTGGAGCTTCTACCCATATGAGAGACCACTGTTAAATGTGCTAAACAGGACAACAGGAACATTAACAAAATCTGACTAAACCGGCCAACTCCTTTTAAAGAGTGCGAGAACCCACTGCTTCCTCGCTTAATAAGGAAAAGTGCAACATCAGGTCCAGAGGAATCAAAACTGTTCTGATGAGCCAATTTGGCTTCTAACGGGAGCCGATGACGGCTCTCTGGGAGACATATTTTTACGTAAAAAAACAATAAAAAGTAAGCATTAATGATGCGTGAAGTCATGCTTACGTGGCCAGCTGTAGTCTGCAGTGGGTAAACATCCTCTGTGGGGCTGACCTCCTGCCTCATCACCCATATTGGCTCCACAGGCTGGTCAGGGGTGTACGGGGAGCGTACTGTCTTAGTCTTCACCTCCTCAATCGCCTCCTTAATGTCTTTAATCACCAGGCTGATGGCGTCTCCTGAGCCCCTCATACCTTCCTCCCCTTGGAGACCCACCGTGTTTCGCTCCTCCTGGCTCTCACCTGAGCTGATCTGCCCGGACATGGGGCTTTTAGCCTGGCTTTCTGCTTGTCTGGGTGCCTGCCGGCGACTTTTGGGAATGGGACTTTGATCGGCGCTGTCCCCCTCACTGTCAGACTGTCCATCATAGTGGTGCAGTCGGCAGCCAACAGAGCGGTCCGGAGGGGAGTGATGTGATCCGCGGTCTCTGGTCTGCCTAGGGGCATAATGGGAGCCCTTGGTGGGGGATGGTGGAGCCCCTCTTTGTACATTCTCCTGTCTATGGCTGGTGAAGGGCTCTTGGCGGGACTCCTGCTGGGCCTCATTAGGCTCAGTCCTCCAACCAGATTGCCTGCGAGGTTCTTTGTGTAACTCGGGGTAGGATGTCGTGAGGGGCTCAGGAAAAGAGTTAGGATGGGATTTTAGCTCTGAGTACGACTTGTACACAGGCTCAGCGTATGATTTTTGGTGGGACTCTGAATAAAAGTCTGCATAGGTTTTTGGATAAGATTCAGAGCACGATTCAGAATAATCCTCATCTTCTTCTTCTTCGGGTGGCAGATCGTTGTCGGGCAGTGGGCTCACACTGGTGTCCTCACTGAAGTGGTCCATCTGGGGAAAAGGTGGAACGTCAGGGGACGAAGGAGGAGTAGGTGACTGGAGCGGCGGCGGGCTGTGGAGAGGTCCGTCCATACTGAGCGAGGCTGCGCTCTCCGTGTCGGAGCAGAGATCCGTGATTTCACTTCCCTGAGCTGCAATGTCCTCCCTTACATCGTCCATCACTTCTTCCTGATCCTCCTCAACCCTCTCTGCACATCCCTCTGCTCTGTCATCGACTGCCTGCATGTCATCGTGGCTGCAGCTGGTGTGACCTGTGGTTGTGCGATGATCTCCATCATCCTCCGCCAGTCCTTGTTCTTCCTTCTCCTTAACTTCCTCCGATTCCTCTTGACATTCCACTTTACGCTCCTGGAGGTCCTCTTCTGCCTCAGCAGGGGGAGTGTGTTGGGGGTGAAGTTGCATGTTATAGGTTGCAGGACGAGGTGAGAGGTGGGTTGGGGTGACAACAGCAACGGGAGTCTGGTGCGGAGAACCCCTGTCCTGCGACTGGTCCGTTACAGGATCATCTGATGAGCGTTGCTGTACCAGCGCCTCTGCTGGACCCTCTCTTTCATCTGCACCAGGTGAAGAGTCCTGCATCATTCTCATTGGTTGCCTCTGTCTGTGACCTCTGAGCCTGGGGTTCGGGTCACCATGACGGCGGTAACGGGCAACAGCAGGGCGGGGTTGCTGGACAGGACGAAGCTCAGTGTCTCGACTCTCTGCCCCATCCAACCGTGAAGGTACCACCGCCGGGGCCAGACCAGGAATCTGAGCCTGGCTTTCGCCCTGCCCCTGCCCTGATGGAGGCCGCCGGCGATGCCGAGGGGGTCCACGACCCGTGGGCGCGTGGTGGTGTTGAGGAGGGTGATGATGATGAGGGTGATGATGATGGGGATTTAGCTCCCCATCCTGGTTGAGCATCTGGCATGGCCTCCAGGACCGACGTAAAGGGGGTTCCCCGGGTGTCGTCCCGTTCAGCTGCCTGCTCCTCGGAAGCACATTGTGCCCCTCGCCTGCGTCCCCGGATGCTTCTCCCTGATACTTGTGGCTCATGGCTGGGGCGTGATCGGACTCCAATTTTCAGAACATGCTCCTCTTGTCTCCAAGAAAACCCCACTCATAGCACGGTCTGGGAGAGACAAAGACAGGAAACAGTTCAATCAAAGACCTAATTAGGGACTGGATATTTAGTGTCAGTAGTTTGTAAGTACAGACTCAATGTTTCTTTAGGAATCAGTATCAAAAAATGGCACTAAATGCTGGCTTCCTAGTCTCGCTTAGTCTTTGAACAGATATTCAGTTTAATTTTGTTTTTTTTGTTTTTGACTGAATTGAATTGCATTTGCGATATGTGCGACAGTGAACTGAAATCTTACAATATCCTCGGTTATTTAACTAATGTCATCAGTCTGTAGATCATATTCATTCCACCAGTTGATGGGTGCCCCATACCACACTTCAACTTCTGTAGTCAGAGGTCACCAAGTATTCTAGAGCAAAATACAACACACAGCAGACCATCAAAACACTCAAACACAGACCCACACAATGCTGAACCAGAACCAAAGACACAACCATAAAATAGAGGCCACATTATCATCTCTAATTCCTAATTCTTATCATTTTAATTTGCAATATTTGCAAATCTTTTTTAGCAAATATCTCCTTTCCTCTTGCTCATGTTGACTGTGAATACAATGTATAATGTTCAATAAAGCAGTTGTCATACACTGCTGGGGAACTGGGAATTGCTGGATCTCTTCCCTGCTCTATATAAAAAGTGCAGTGAGATGATTTTTGTTATGAATTGGCGCTACATAAATTAAACTGAAACTGAATACATGTGAAATAACAAACCTGGATTTTAACATTTACCAGAGTGAAAACAAATGGCTGCTTATAGTAAAAAGACTTACAAAAGACTTAAAATGTAATAACAAACTCTATATTGATGTCAAAATGTATCTCTACAATAACTAATCCTCTATTTCACTGGCCATGCCTAAGCACCAGTGTTAGCTGACATTTAGATAAAATATGGATATAGTGGTAATGAAATGATATGATGGGCTCTCAGCTAGCTAACATTAGACAGCACATTTTAAGTAAAAGAAATGCTAATTATGAAACTGGGAAAGGTGGGAAAGTTAAGTGTAGCTAACTACTGACATTAAATTACAGTGTCTCCACCAGCGTGTGGTTGACTGGACTGTAGCTGTTGCTGCTGATGTGGGCAGACAAGATGTTCAACTAACGTCAAGGTTAGGAAATGGTATGGGCCATTTTAGGGATGTTTGAAATCATATTTTAAGTGTCTTGAATATAAGGCATGAATATGGGACATAGATTGTATTATTTACAAATACGAAAGACCCCCCTGAACTTGTTTTTGCCTCTTTTGGGGGGGTCCAAACCTTAACTAGGGGGGTCAGACGCCCCCAATCCCCCCCCCTGTAATTCGAACCATGTATTTGGGTATTGGGCTGTTGGTCAGACAAAACAAGCAATATGAAGACATCACGTCCTTGGGGTTTGGGATATTGAGACATGCATTTGTGCGGTGTGGTAGGCAAAGTATTAACTTCTCTTGCAAGCTCTAGGTACTTTTTATTCATTATTCACATAGGCCTAACTAGGCCTACTTCTGCCATTGTCCCCATTGTATAAATTGAGAAAACAGCTACAGAATTACTAAAAGACAGAATTGGTCAGCTGTAAGCACCGCCACCTCACAGCAAGAAGGTTCTGTGTTTGAACGTGCCGGGTGGCTGAAGCCTTTCTGTGTGGAGTTTCCATGTTCTCCCTGTGCCTGCAGGCCACGGTCCAAAGACATGCAGGCTAAGTCTCTATGCATCTGCCCTGTGATTGACTGGCGACCTGTCCAGGGGGTACCCCTGCCTTTCCAGCCACTCCCATGACCCTCAAGGATAAGCGAGTACAGCCGATGGACAGAAGAAGAAGATATACTTTATACAGGAAGACATGAGGATGCAGCCAGGAGGAACCAGGCGGCAGGCTTTTCATCCCACCTACTGAGTGAGGTCATGGTTGGATGGTTTGTGGCTACAACCGTGGCTACCCCCCGTCCAGTCCATCTTTGTAACAGCCTCCCACTAGAGTGATTTATCATCTTAATGTGGTCCTCTCGCAGACCAGCTTAATCATCAGAGAACATCCACTATAATTTAGATAGACTTTATTAGTGAGGCTAGGTATCAGGTCGAGGACTCCCTGTCTCTATATTGCTAATAGCAAAAACTTAAATCCTCTGGGATTCATCTCAGTGCGCAGTGCACTTTAATCTGCACCACATTCATCTGTCCACCAGCAGCTGGCAGATGGCACAGCCGGGAAGAGAGAAAAGGACGAGGAGGAGGAGGAGGAGGCAGGGGCACAAGGACAAGGAGGGACATTCTCTGGTATCAGATAAGATCTGACAGAGAGAGATGAATAGGGCAGCGATCTGAATAATAAATGCCCTCTGTGAGTGAGTTTTGATATTTATTCAATATGACAAGGCTATCAGGGTATCCAACAGTTATGTCTTATCGCAGGCTTCACCGTGTCTGAGGTCAACGAGCTGAGAAAGGACACAACAACATAATCCTACCAAATGATGCAGAAATTACAAATTGGTTCCAGAAAAGGTAATCAATGGAGAAAACTGGGCAGTCTTATTTAAAGAAAGAAAACGGCTAAACCTTGTTTATGAAGGCCTACATGAAAGCTTAAAAAAATGTCTCATTATTGCTACTCGATATTTTTCACTGAAGCTGCCTTCATATGTCAGTTATCTGGAGAATCCCTAAATGTGTGACAGTATCCATGAGACATCTACGTTTCGCTCATTGAAGGTGGGGTATGCGATTCTAATCCAGTATACATCTTTTTGTCAATATCAGCAAATATCTCCTCAGGGTCCACTAGCTGTCTGTTCTGTGTGTGCACAGGAAAAGAAAATCAGTGTACTCAGCTCTGGCTCTGTAAGTAGGAAACCAACAAACTGGCCTGCACCCTGCCAAACAACAGCCATGATCTGTGTGACAGGTAACAATGACTTGTCCACGAACATTCAGCTCACTTTCTAGTTTGCAAAAACATGCTGTTGCTGCGATGTTATCTACAGCAGCAAGAGAGTTGTAGAGCGTGTTAGCTTCGCAGCAGTAACTGTAATGACAGACTGCTAACCCACAACTTAGCTAACGTTAGTTACATGGGTCACATGTTTTTGTTCGCTCTAAAAAAACTCTAAAAAATATATATACTTGAAAAGCAAGTATATATATTTTTTCAGGAACACTTTTAGCCCAACTGGGCAATTGTTTCAATATCACAATTCATTCACATTTTAATTTTTATTAAGGCTGCAACAAACATTTTTTTCCCGATATTGTTGATGTACCTATACTGTTTTATTAACAGATAAATAATTTAGTCTATTAAAAAAATTTCGAAAATGTCTCGGGTCTCCCCTAATTTAAAGGGCAGTTGTGCAGAATTGACTTTAAGGAATTCCTTCACTCCTGAAATTCACTTAAGGATGTAATATTATTCTTTTAAGGATATTACTTAAATATTTGATGGGTTAAATTTGTTTAACTTGTTTTTGTTGGGGGTTTTTTTTGGTGAGGAAATCTTGAAAGAACTAAGTGAGTGTGATTCTAAGTACAAGTATACAGAGTCATTTTGTATCTTCAATTCTTGCTTACATCTTCGTAGGTTAATTTACAATCTATTTGATCCACTGCATCAATAGAGTGCACTTCTTGTAACCTTAGTGAACTAATGATCAGCTAACTGTCCTAACTGCCAATTACTGCAGCTCCTCTTGAAAAGAGGCAGCACAAGATTTACTGATGTGGTTGCAGTCTTATACGTGCAGACATATAAACTACACTTGAACATCGAACATGTGGATAGAGCGAAGACACAGGGGGCAAAGGTTAATGTTGATCCTGTAATCTGAGCACAAACCACGACTGCTAGGGAGGCAACATGATGGGATGCAGCAGGAGCGAGGGCGGACTCCCAGGGTGGCTAATGTCCCTCTCGGCCTGGAGTTTAGGACCGGATGGCAATGGTTTGGTGATGGGTCAGGTCGGATGGTTGGGATGGGTTCCCAGGTCACAGATGGCCTTGGCAGCGTGGCAGTGGAACGTACAGGCCTACAGAGCTGTGAGCCGGGCACTGCACTTCCATCTGTCAGGCTGCAGTGAAAGCCGGAGGGGGGGGGGGGGGGGATTTTCTAGCCCATTAACTTGCTGATCTTATACTGACACACAAGCACACACCGATGACACACACGCGTGCTATATGTACATGCAAGGACCTTCACTTATTACATCTATTCACAAGCCTGTAACTTCCTTTACTACATGCCTAACAGTAATTTTGATTGAATTAACGCTGCATCCAACTATTATTTTTATTAGCCAGGTCCCTGATTTATTAATTAACAGATGAATCATTTAGTCTATAAAATGTCATTGTAATGTGATGATATTTTGGGTCTGACAAGACTATTAGTCCTTTTAGAAGGTATTTACACAATCATCACTTCTGTGAATATGATGGCCAAACAGGTAGAGGCATTCACTGGTCCCACTCACACACAACAACCAAATACGTAAACGTGTCAGATTACTAAATATGAATCTGTTTTACTTATTGCTCATTTATTGTGGACCATGTCCAATTAAAAAACGGCTGCACCTGAGTTAGCTTTAAGCTAATTTGCACGTGCAGCCCCGTGAAAACGCAAAATACAACAGTACAAAATAGCAATTTGACAAATATCCAGGAGCAGTAAAACACTTTACACCATCATGGTGAATTAAGTAGATTATAAATGGATTTTGATAGAAGGGTTTAAAAGTGATCCTGGACATGACTGTGTTGTTTTAGGCACTCATTTCATACTCAAACATTTAAAACGAGGTTAACACACAGAAATACAGGATGGTGCAGTGATCAGGAATTAACAAATGAAACCATGCATTGTGCAGGATATCACGCTATTATACTGAATAAAATGCTGCCCTTAACCCAGGCCCTAATACTAATTCAGCCTAAAGTCCTAATAAGTGCTGCCACAAATAGTTGATTGTTTGATGTCAGTCAGCAGAAATGTAACAATTTTGATAATTGATTTATCTTTTTCGAGCAAAAACATGCCAACTATTACCTAGTCCTAGCCACTCAATAGTAAGCACTTGATGCCTTTCTTATTCAAATTATGCAACAGTAAACTGATCTTTGGGTTTTGGACTGTTGGTCGAACAAAACAAGCAACTTAAAAACTCTATTAAATTGTGATGGGCATTTTTCCTCTTTTCTGACAGCTAAGATAAATGATTAAACAAAAGAAATACAGATTTGCCTATAATGAGAATAATGACTATATGCAACTGTCCTCACTTCACATTCTCTTCATGTGGCTATGAGAGCATGATTCATCCCTTCACCCTCTCACACTCCCTCTCTCTCCCTCTCTCTCTCTCTCACACACACACACACACACAAACCACACAGTGACAGACACAGTCACTCAGCGAGCATATGGTCCATGTTGGGACGCATCAGTTAGTCATGTTACTTACATTGTGCTGTTGACTACGCCTTTGCTCTAGGAGGAGAAGATTAATCCACGAACAAGTGCCAAACTGGCAAGTGCTTTTATTTTGAAGGATTACTGGCTTCTTCAATCCCGTCCCATGGCCTTGAACGATTTTATTATGTTAAAAGGGTAGAAACCTTCCTTTAGAGATTGGTGCTCGTGACCAATTAGTGATCAGTCCTGCGCTCCCCCTCTCTCTCTGAAATCCGCTTATAGTTTACAATTCATAAGCGATCATGATGTTGTCCTGGATATGAATCACGTGACGTTTTATCCTGGGAATGACATACAGTCTTTCACTGAATCCCAATGCCTAAAACGCCTGACATCTATCTATTTGAAGGGGGGGAAAGTGCAGTAAACTGTCCCTTGCCTAAATGCCTCTCTCGCTCCCTCCTGACGGTCCAGATTAAACCTCCGCAGGTGCAGACCTGAACACATTCTGCCTCCCCGGCCCGCACTAAACCCGGTTTCCCGTCACGGGCTGCCGGACATTACTCTCATTTACCTGCATGTCAGAGGACGTGAGGCCCGAGTCCGGCTGCTGCAGTACACATCGCCCCTGTTCCCGTGGCCGCTCGCTCGACTCGGCTCGGCTCGGCTTGTCCCTCCAGACAACTTGCTCGGATTAAAGCAGGAGAGCTCAGCCCCTCCTTCCGCACCGTGACATCAGAGCGGATTAGCGATGCACAAAGCGCTTTTACAAACACCGCTGATGCTGGTGGAGCAGACGCAAACACTTCTTCGCGGCCATGAGCCTGTCCCGCTGCCACCTCCCGCATCAGCAGCAGCCTGCAGTGCAGCGGGGGCTCTGCCCAGCTCTGCCCGCCTGCTGCATCACCGCGACCCGCCCACGCTCTGTCGGTGGGGTCGCTGTTATCTGCCTGTGGATCTTTCTGGTCTGATAAAGATGCTCCTGAGTTAGTAAAACTAGTGGATGAGGTGGACAGGTGGATAAGTGGCATCCCACTAACCACAGTTTGTGCCCAATCATAGTTTACACACATCTGTTAGCTAAACAGTTATGCTCACCTGAGAGTCCGCTCACATTTAACCTGTAGTTACCTCTGCTTGAGCTGGCTAATGTTTAGCCCTGATAAGCTAACCCCCCCACACGCCAGACAAAAGTAAAAGAAACAAAAAAATATATATATTTTTTAAACTTGCTCAAAATACTCTTCAGCTGGAAAAAAAAACTAATTCAAAATCCCAAATGCCCAGAGGCAAAAGCCAACAATTTAACCAGTCCTGCTAATCTAAGATGGCGGCCAGAAGTTGTAAGAAAGAAAGAACATCCTATGGATTTTTAATTCACCATTAAACTTAGTAATGTAATGACACTGAGCCTCTAAAACTTATTTTTCTTTAACTTAAGTGTAGCCTGTAGTCTAAATTATTAGATATAATTTATCTAATATTATTATATATATGGCCATCATCTCCTTCCATATGTGATGCACATGTTTCAATAAAGTGTCATGGGAGAATAGCCGATGAACACACTTTTATCCATGCTTGAAATTATAAAATAATTGAAAATAAGATGGATAAACAGTAGATAAATTAATCTGATCAACCAACAGGATGAAAAGGAAATTCACCTTTGTTTGGCTGAAAAACAGAGTCACAACTTGGGAAACTAAAAGCTTTTTCCTGCTAGTTAGATAAAGGAGTCAATTAGGAATCTGCTAATAGGCCTACTTCACATTTGGACAACTCACTTCATAATTGCAAAGGTCATGGGAAAAGGTTCACATAGGAAACAGAAAAGTTCACACTGTACATGCAATACAGCATGTGTATTGTTTGAGCAATAGCTCACGACAGGCCGTGATATAGGCGTATTATATCCACAGTTAAGGGGCGTTGTTCGCATTTGCCGTCACAGCAGTGCCTAAAATAATAACACTTTAATATTCACCTACCATAAAGGGCGGAATTGCGTCTCTCCTTGAGCAATAGTCTTTTGAACACGGTATTGAAACTTAGGTCCTAAACTTTGTTGCAATATGCCAGACATCTGGGGAAAGTAGTGGACTACTGTGTGTGTGTGCGTGTGTGTGTGTGCGTGTGTGTGCGTGTGTGCGTATCCGAGTATGTGAGAGAGGGAAATGTTGAATCACGCAATTTCTCTCTCTCTCTCTCTCTCTCTCTCTCTCTCTCTCTCTCTCTCACTCTCATTATTTATTTATCTCCGCCGGTAAAATGCCATCTGTATCAGATCGGATTTTAATAACAGGTGTAAATGGGGCGTGAGACCCGCACGAAGCTCAGATTATAACTCCAACTCTGTTTGTCGCGGAGTGATACGGATCTGTCCAAAGGATTTTCACGTCATACCCGTTGTATACGCTCATTATATCACTACTATGAACCAATCAGATTGCTTGATTTGACCTACCCGTTTTATAAACTCACTTATTAACTTACATAGTATGAGCATTCTTGTTTAAGTTATGTCAAATTTTTTTCAAGATTGAGTGCTCTGACATTCAAACCAGGAGGACAACTTCATTTCAATGAGATCCTCTTGAGCTTATTACTGTCTCACCATAACCATCAGTGATGCTAATGAGTTAATTACCTATGCTAATTATACAGTAGTTACTGAATATTTATACATTGACCTGTCAATCTTTATCAAACACACAGGCGGTTTTATTTTGATTTGTAGTTTAAAGCACGAGTTATAGCAGTTTCAATAAAATTAGATTTTCCAAATTAAAATGCAAATGTATCCATTGCAAACCTTTGTTCTTATTGTTAGGCTGACATGTATGATAGGAAATACAGTAACTAATCATGGCTGATGTATAATGTACAGAGTAGACTAGTGGAGTGGAGAGTGAATCAGGGGGTGCGGTGCTTGCGGGGCTCCTGGCACGATAATCCAGGCATGTTTCAGTGTCACTCAAGGGCTGGTAGAGCAGATGAACACATTGTTGAGCCCCTGTAACGCATTTTCACCTAAGTCACGCATGCCCTTCCACCAAAGCAGCGGTTACCATGACAACAATATGTGACGGAGGATGGTGTGGAATAGTAACCATGGCATCTAATCTGGGATTGCCATCCCTGCAGCCACGCAGCTTTGATCCCACGCAAACAGCCTCCTTCTGTAAAATACAGGCTGTGAACTTTTAGCTGAATGTGGAGGTGTGTGTGTGACACATTTTAAGGCCAGAGCCAATCAAAAAGTTCCTTATTATACCATCTGAGGTAACCTTATCAGTCTGCTGCTGATGGTAACTCATGTCACACAGCCTGTATTTCAGTAACTCCAGTTCACTGCTGTTCTATTTTCACAGAAGACATCAATAATTTATGGCCCTCTCTCGCTGCATACATGTATGAAGGTTTACCGTACATGTTCTGTTGGTAGTTATGTAGTGAGCACAGAGTGAACCCATTACAGGAATTAACGCACATTAAATTTTCATGACGAGCCCTTAAAGAAGGATCTCTTATCAAGCAGAACACCCATGGCCTCAATTCAAAATGTACACTGCAGGTTCCAATGTTCATGAGGCTGTCAGACTCCATTTCTACCTGCCCAGGGCCTGCGTTTCAGGTTACTGTGATACACAAGTAACACGTTATTGACAGTATTGACCTTTGTTTATCTAGGGAGGTTTCACTGAGAGCAATGCTTTATTTTTGCAGGAACACCCTGTTCACACTCACACAGTTTATCAACACCCAATACAATCATATTCTTATCTTCTGGCCACTGAGCATGTCCACTGGATCAGCTGCGGGTTAAGGGCCTTGCTCATGAGCACTACAGTGGTAGTAATGAAAATGCTTCTCTCTCACTTTACCCCTCCAGATTGCTCTTGCTGGTCCAGGAATCAAACTAGCAACCTCCTGGTTCACCTTTAGGGCACCACTTATTTTTTGATTAGATTGCATCAGATTAGATTCAACTTTATTGTCATTATTGTACAAGTACTGAGACAAAAAAAAATGCAGTTTAGGATCTAAACAGAAGTGCAGGGTAATATAAATAGCAGTGAGGGATAGATATGAATGGTCTAAGATACGTATATACAGTATGAACAGCGTGAAATGAATACACTAAGATATTGACAGTGGATCGATCAATTAACTTTTATAATTATCAACTGATCACTTACAAATAATAATAATAATAATAATAATAATACATTTTATATTTATTTATACCTTTCTCAGCACTCAAGGACACCGTACAGGGATGCAAAGACATTTAAAAGCAGCAAAACTAAGAACATTAAAACAAGCTAAAAGCAAAGAATTTACATCAAATGAGGTAGGCAGTTTTAAACAGATGTGTTTTGAGTTGCGATTTAAAATGGGAGAATGAATTGATGTTTCTAAGTTGGGGTGGTAAAGAGTTCCAGAGACGGGGGGCAGAACGGCTGAATGCTCTGCTCCCCATTGTGGTGAGACGAGCAGGGGGGACAGACAGGTGTATGGAGGAAGAGGATCTAAGGGAGCGGGTGGAAGTTGGACCCTGCAGGAGATCAGACAAATACGGAGGGGCAAGGTTGTGGATGGCCTTGAATGTTAACAGAAGGACTTTGAATTGGTAATGGGACAGGACCGGGAGCCAGTGAAGCTGTTGGAGAACAGGAGTGATGTGGTGGGTGGAGGGTGTTCGAGTTATGATGGCAGCTGAATTCTGGGGTTTGGTCGAGAGGTAGAGCTGGGTGTCATCAGCGTAACAGTGGAATTGACTATTAAATTTGTGGAAATTTGCCCCTATTGCCCAGGGGAAGGAGATAAATGATGAAAAGTAAGGGCCCCAGGACAGAGCCCATTTTGTAATAGTTGTTTATTGATAAAATATTTTATAAATTAATTAAAATGAATTAAACATTAGAGAGCAAACATTAACAAATAATGTGTAAATGGCCAATAAATAATTATTTTAAATAATTATCTAAAAAACATTCATGTATGGTGAAATATTTGTAATTTTCTAGCTAGGCACTGAAATAACTCAACAACTACTGGATGGATTCCCATCAAACAGCCTTTGGCGATGCCCTGACTTTTCCTCACATATGAAATGTTTTGAGAAGTATTGGGTGGATAGATTTGGTCCAGATATCCACGGTGCCCGAGGATGAATCCCAATGACTTTGGCAATTACCTGACTATTAATCGAGTGCCACAAGCAGGTCAAAAATTCAACTGGTCCAATTCTTTGGTTTATGACCAAATACAAAACATTCATAATGACATTCCCGTTTAGTGCTAATTAGCTAATGTTAGCACCCTAACACACTAAACCAGTGGTTCTCAAACTTTTTCACATCAAGAACCCCTAAACTGACACAAATGATAACATATTGTCCCAATCTGAGTCCCCATTCTAATAGAATTTTTGCTTTTAAAAGTTTTATTACAGAAAGTGTTTGAAACCTGTGACCCAAGTAGTCATACATTCTGGTATTGTGTTAATTATGGATGGAATTCAACTGAACGAAAATAAAGTATTCCTCTTTTTGCTGGGGACCCCCTGGAACACCCTCAAAGACCCCTGGGGGTCCCCAGACCCCACTTTGAGAACCACTGCACTAAACTAAGATGGGGAACATTGGTACCCATTACACATGCTTATCAGCATGTTAGCATTTTTAGCCTTAACCTATAGCCTTAACATGATTAGCAAGCTGACTTTAGCATTTAGCTCCATGCTGTGCCAAGGTCAAGGTCATATTTGTTTATAGAAATAGGTACTGGAATACACGCACAGTAAACACA